TCTGCCAAAGTTAAAGCAACTGGTCCCTCGTGTTGTGCTTTGTATAATAATACCAAATGGTATTTACAAGCCAGGTAGAAGACACGATGCTGCAGTCGAACTATTTTGTTCGCGGTACATACCGACGCCATGTTAATTGTCAAGCGACTATCGATTTAAAGCCAACTAGGCTTATTTCGACGCATCATCAAGTCGTGATGTTTTTATGGTGTTTAGATGAGGCTCAAATTCGGGACATGTACCCCGCCAGGTCACGTTACCCTATCGTCTGGTGGCCATCCCGTTCCTGCTCGACCGCAGACGGGGACGCAGAGACGGGATGCAGAGACGGCTTTTGCAACCCCACCATCGAGAGGCCCAAACCAGAGCAAACCAGACCAAAGCATAGACTACCAACGACCAGGTCAGGGTTTAACGAAACACGATATTTACGATACCATAACGATACGATCTCGACGATAATACATTCTCCAACGCACACTAATATTACCCACTGCGCACCTGTCAACAACCAAGCCCGCGACTTCACAAAGCTGGGACATGGTCGCTCGTTGTTGAGCTACCTTCGTCAATAGCTTCTCTATATTTCTTTTTGCGCCCAGCATGATGGATGACTACGTGAGCGAGTCGGATAGCGACTATACAAGTTATTGGCGGGACTGGGTGAGTGCCTCCAGCAACTGTCGAACCGTGGAGACAACGCGCTCTTGTTATCGCTGTCCGCCATCGCCATATTGTTGTTGAACGGATAACGGCCATACAGAGGCGTGGGGCCACGGGGGTTCTCTTATTATCATCTTGGAATTTCATAGGCTAACCACGGATCTTTGCAGTTCATCTCATCGAGGGGTAACGAGTACTTTTGCGAAATCGACGAGGACTACCTTACGGATAGGTTCAACTTGACAGGCCTTAACACTGAAGTCCAGTACTATCAGTATGCGCTGGATCTCGTCACCGATGTCTTTGATCTCGAGTGCGACGATGAGATGCGCGAGGCCATCGAGAAGTCTGCGAGGCACCTTTATGGTCTTGTGCACGCCCGCTATATCGTTACAACAAGAGGCCTAACAAAAATGGTGCGTGCATCTTGGCTAGATATCAGGTACCACTTTGCTGACATACAAAAAAGCTTGACAAGTATAAGAAGGCTGAGTTTGGGAAATGCCCTCGTGTCATGTGCCACTCTCACCCCCTCCTCCCAATGGGCCTCTCTGATGTGCCCAACATGAAACCTGTTAAGCTCTACTGCGCTCGCTGCGAGGATATCTACAACCCCAAGTCCTCACGACACGCTGCTATCGACGGCGCCTACTTCGGCACGTCTTTCCACAACATCCTTTTCCAGGTGTATCCCGCCCTCATCCCAACCAAGAGCGTAGAACGCTACGTCCCTCGCGTGTACGGATTCAAAGTGCATGCTTCGGCCGCTTTGATTCGCTGGCAGAGCGCCAAGCGCGACGAAATGCGCCGTCGGCTTCGCAAGCTTGAGATCGACACTGGCTTCCGTGATGAAATGGAGGACGAAGAAGAAGACGACGAGGAGCTTGAATTCGAAGGTATAGATGGTCGTATGGCTGTTGTGGAAGGCCTTTAGGGGGCTCTGGTCTCATACCCTGAGGAGAGCGCTAGGATAGGTACTGGTGATAGAATCAGAGTCATACCGACTGGCACCAAAGACGATCCACATGAACGCTCAAATGGACATGAACGATGGACATGGACGAAACTCCCCTGAAAACATTCCTCGTATTCTAGCACTTATTTGGGGTTGTTGTTGAATGGACACGAATCTGCTTCTGCACAGGCATTCGCCGTCTCTCGAAGGCAACAAGAGCAGTTCTATTGTTTCTGAGGCTGTTGGTCGGGCTCTGGATTGGCGTTTGGCGGCAAGTCATACGGACTGGATTGGGCTGGTATAAACAACGAAGGAGTGTGAAATGGTTTTTTCTCTTGAATTACAGCTGTTCAATAAGAAGCGTATTTTTTTTTCCTTCCTGTTAATGCATTTGGTCATGAATCTTACTGATCGCCCGCCGGGTATAAACCCTTGCTCTGAAATGGCAAGCAATTATTTTAATGTCTCATTGATAGTCACGTTGGCTGTGGTTGGTATCAATCGGTCATTTCCTTGTTCGTGTCATGTCGTATCAAAAAATCAAGTGGTCTATCTGCCCGCAAGCTGTTCGCTTTCCATTCATTACAAACAAAAATTCAATGCTGACCGATATTCATAGGGGTCACCTTCTCCCTGGAACCTGAATATACCATCCATCTGAATTACATATACATACTCATACCATCACTGCATGTCTTGCTGTGAAGAAACACCTTGCTTAGACTGCGATATTCCGCGGTTCTAGACACGGTTCTCAGCATGATGGGCGTCACCGTACCGGTTTTCAGTGAACCGCTCATCAGGGAACCTGTTTTCTAGTCGATCAGAATCATCCATCCTCTGTAGCTCCACGTCTTGGAAGTTTTGGCTGGGTCTAGGCTCTTGGTCTGTATTCTGGCGAACATTCCGTTGAGCGAGGGCAGATGTCATGGGTGGGTATGATGTATCTCCAGAATGGCCCACGTCGCGTTGAGGAGAATATACGCCGAGCTCCTCGTCTGTACCAGCATAGCCTTGTCGTCCAACGCCTGCCCAGAACGCACGTTCATCGCTTCGAGGACCCCATGCCCAGCCTGCACCAGCACGAATAGGCAAATGATAATATCGGAACGCAAAAATGGAGGCAACCAGACCCATCAAGTAGCCGAAGAGAATATCAAAACCGTGGTGGCGACGGTCGTGCCAGCGCGAACCAGCAATGAAGATTGAGACACCAAAGGGGAGAAGGCCTAGAGCAAGGAGGTAAATCGGGGGCGCAGCAGCTTGGCGACGCAGAGATTGGACCTTGGCATTATCTTGTCCTGCGCGTTCCTTTGTAGGAACAGAAGAAAATGATCCATCTGGGCCGCGGGCGCGAGAGGGCTCGTAAGGATCGACGACAGAGCCGGTGTGGATTCGAGAGGGGAACGCCGCATGGCTGGCTGCTCCTGCCACGGCAGCAGCGGAGGGCATCACGAAGGGAATAGTAACTGCGAACTTGCTGGCCATGAAGAGCGAGGCGTAAATGAGGCCACCAGCGGCAGACGACGAGTGGCCGCTAGGGTATGAGCGGAAACCGTCGTCAATCTTGTACTTATCCGTCTGTTGGCAGATATCGGCCGAGACAAGCTGTCCTGTCATGCTCTGCCACTTGAAACCACCAACGACATACTTGTCGATGTTTTTCCAATCGGGATCGCAGCGGGCAAGGAGATCGGGTCGAGGCTTGCCAAACAGATTCTTCATAGAGCTTGTGAAGAACCATGACAGCGTCAGAGATAGGACGAGGCCGAGGACACCAACATGAAGCTCCCAGAGCTTGCGTTGCCAGATAAGAGTCTTTGGGGTACCCTTAGGTACAGTCGGGCCAGGAACGAATATGAGGGAAACGACGGCGACAATGACGAAAGGAACGCCAATGGCGAGGACGAACAAGAGGTAAGCGGGGACGAGTTCATGTTCGGCAAATGGATATCTTTAAACGACGTTAGCATTTTAGACAATTATCAAGAGATGAGAACATCCTACGTACGAGATATTAGGGTCAACAAGCGAGAATGGTCGTTTCGCAGGCGCAACTCGATCGAGCCAACCTCCGATACCAACAAAGACAAAGCAGATAATCCAGTCGAAGAGGTAGGACAAGATCAGTCGAATGGGGAAGCGACGGCCTCGCAAACCACCAGATAATGTTCCTAAACCCGAGTCGCCCATCTTGTAGTAGGAATGCATATTCTATCAAGAGAGAGGAGAAGATCGAGTGCCGAATCGGGGGGAGGAGGTTTATTTGAGGTTTGGGGCTTGTCGTCACACACTCAATTGAGCCCCCGTTTCCCGCTTCTGCGTGCACTTGAGAGCCAGAGGGTTTCCGGCTCCGTCTGCGTTGGGTCTGGGGAGGGCGTGTGGGCTTGCAGAGAGAGGTGTGTGTATGGAAGAGAACGAGAAGAGCGGCCAAGCGGCTAGTCCTAAGGAGGTGGGCTTAGGAGGAGCAGCAGTTTTGGCATGCGACAATAAGTCTGGAGTTCTAAATGACTTGGGCAAAGAAATGAAGGGATAATGGTTATGGGTATTGGGATGAAGTCTGGGGTATGAAGCACCAAAGGATGTTTTCAGTCGTCAAAGGAATCTCACTCGCCCGTCACTCTTATATCTTCGTTAATCGTTAATCTTGTACTTGATATCGATGTCAGATGGAAGCGAGCTTTTCTCCTGTTTGTTTGGACTGGCAGCGTTGGATTGATCTGCGGACGATTTTATCAGAAAATGGTCCTTTGGAAACTGATGTAAGAAATGAATGGGGCTGACGGCTTCGGTAATTGGAGGTTACGTGTACAGCGGCACTCCTAGCCTTAGGCCCTACCAGCTGGAGTCTGGGCAGGGGGCCAACACTACAGAATTGTTAGGAGAATTGTCTTTGAATTGGGGGGCCGGGGATCTTCTTTGGGGATCATGTACCGCTCAGAGGCAAGTGCTACAAGGCTTGTTTTCTATAGAACCTCCCGGTACTAGCTTAAATCATGAAAGATCTTCACTTTGAGACTCTTTGATGGTGTTTGACCATGCGCGCGCCTGTTTTCCTGAAGTACAGCTGCCGCTAGAGCGAGGCTATGACGAACCCCCTGTAGCACCAGTGGCGTGGATGGAGCCTCATTGGGGAAATGCTCGCGTGGTCCCGCTTATGATCCATTTCTCTCGGGGGCCTGTACGCGCATCGATTGCTATTTCTCAACTGACATCGGGGCACGAGGGGCCCGAGGACGGGATAACTTTTGTTTTATTCTAGCTCGCAGTGTTTCGGTACCTGCCTGTATCATGTCAGATCTGGCATTCAGTGAAAGCTGAATACCATCATGTGGTTCAAGTAAAATCTTCAAGCCCGCCTTTGTCTCCCTTCATTCAGGTAGGTTGATGATATGGGATTCTCAATCGAGGACAGAGCAAAGGAACAGGCGCTTCGTCAGGTGCTAGCAGCTGCCACCGTGCTCGGTGTCTCATTAGCCATGCCTTCGTCACGGTGGTCCATTAACAGTTCAATACCATCGGACAATCGTCACCCCCTTAGCCCCATCGGGCATTTTGGAATGCATGTAGGTACTCCGTACGTGCTAACCAATCCCTAGTACACGAAATATCCTAGTCAGTCATCCCGTCCTGCTCCTTTTTTACGGTCTTGTTTCCCTGAAAGTCATAACTCCATGACCTGGCTTGCCATGATCTGCGTTCATCTCTTCCCGAGCCTTCCCATCCAATTAGGTTTCGCGGATGAGAAATAACCTTAATTCTGTTACCCGCCTGCGACGTCAATGATAGAGCCAGTCTTCATCGGTGAAGCGAGAACAGAAAGCAAGGCAGAAAGATTGATTAACAATTGTTGGCTCTACAAGCCGCTGCTCACTTTGAAGCCTCCCTTTGGTTTGGTAGTTCAATATAATTTAGTAGTGTTGAACCTGTCAACGAGCCTTAGCTCTTGGCAGTAAAAAGACTCTGATTACGTTTCGTGGCTTTGTGAGGCTGTGCAAAGTACCTAGCCATGTGGGCTTGCCCTTGTACGGACAGCTCGTCCAAAAAACGGCATTTAATCGATTCTCCGCATAGGCACAAGACGAACTCATTGGCTCTTCCGTAAACAAAACGGCTATTCGGAATCTTGGGCGTGCAAGCTGAAGAGTAGAGCAGATGATATACAGCATATCGCGGCACGCAGCAATCAACCCTAAGTCGACATTTAGTCTCGGGGCGGGAACTTCTGTCCCATCGACTACCAAACAATTGCGTTCGGCTCAGTACTAGCTATCTCCACTCACTCAGCCTGAACCCTTTTTTTCGGTTGCAGCCAAAGGACCCTTGCGCCTTGAGAGTTGAGACTGCTGGGAGTCGGTGAAACACTATACCCTTGTTGAAACTCGAAAGGCCTTTGTCTGGTCAGAGATTGCAATAGCACACTCATTGTTCGATAGGTCCTGCTATATCGGCTGCTTTGAATAGGATCAGATCGTTTACAAGGGGAGGACGTTTGACTGTCTATCTTGAGGTTCTTGCATGAACTTGTCACCCAGGCTTCACCACCGCCAGCGGTTTACGGCCCGGTTCTAGGGATATCTATGATAAAAGGCTGTACTGACGTATGCATGAAACTAGCCTGTAACAATTCCACGTGTAATGTCAAATTGCCAAACATCAAATGATGGAATATATATGTTCCTACGTGGTTCTTTGATTAAGACGCCAATTGGGCCCTTATCTATAATGTCACATATGATACAATGCAGCGTCATAATATACAATGCACTGACGACCGAGTTCTTTCTCGGCCTGGCATGTGCTTTTCATCCAACGCATCAACTCATCACTCCTTTCCCTTAATTGGCCTTGTCTCGGCGCTTTCCGTTGTTTCGAGGTCGAGGTACCACAACCCACTTGTTTCTGTTGTGCTTACGTCGGGTCTTGTAACCACTCTTGGTCTGAAGACGGTGTTAGCATTGCTTCATATGTTTCGAGGCTTTTGGGTAGTCTTACGGGAACACCCCAAGGAGAGACAGGGTGACGATTACCCTTCGATTTACCTCTACCACCACCGTGAGGATGGTCGACTGTGTAATTCATGTCAGCAGCAGTCCTGCTAAGATGCGCCTATGCTCCTTACCCTTGTTCATGGCAACACCACGGACGGTAGGTCGAATGTTGAGCCACCGGCTTCGTCCAGCCTTGCCCAGCTGGCGATAGTGGTGGTGAATGTTGCTAGCAACGCCGATGGTCGCACAAGCGTCCTTGCTCACTCGTCGAACTTCACCGCTCTGGAGTCTAACCTCAACGTACTTGCCGGTCATGACCCTAGTACCGTCGTCTTTCGTCTCCTCGTTCTTGTTGACAACCACAGCTGAGGTGCCAGCACTACGACAAAATACGGCGCCACGTCTAGCTGCGGACCCCACAGCAAATACTGTAGTCCCAACAGGAATCATGTGCATAGGTAGACAATTACCACGGAAGGCAGTCTTCGCAGCTAGAATACCGGGATCGATAATACCGCCCATGCTGTCAAGTAGATCTTGAGGAATACCGGCACGGTAGCTGTGGACAATATCCCCAGACCTCAAACCATCAGCGGCAAGAATATAAGTGTGACGTCCGGTAGCCTTCTCAGTGACGAGAGCAATGTGCGCACTCCGTCCTGGGTCGTATTCAATGCGTTCCACCAGGTGAGGTCCTGGTCGGTTGCGGAGGAAGTCAACCGTTCTTATTCTTCTCTTTGCACCACCACCTCGGTGTCGCACGGTGATTCTACCAGACACATTTCGGCCACCCTTTGCTTGGCCCTTCTTAGGGAATGTTAAGGGAAGGAAAGGTCGTCCTTTCCAGAGATGATCGTTGATAGGTCGCTTGAGATGTCTCACACCAGGCGTTCGGGGCTTATAGACTCGCAAGATAGCAGATTGACTCTCGGGGTTCTCAGCGAGTTCTTTCGGGCTGGCGGTGGTCTCGTTAGAACGTCTGATAGTTGCATATGTCCGAGGCAGCGATCGGTTCAGAGCCATGCGCAAAGCGCTCTGCCGCGCAGCAGCAAATTGAAGGCCGGACTGAAGCATTGTCGGTCTCGGGTGTTTCAAGTGTTGGAATACTAGCAGTTGGTCTTCATCGGAGTCGGTTCGTGTGGTTGTATGGTTTAATATTAACTCAGAGGGGAAGGCAATGACTTTCCCCAACGACGGTCGCTAGAGGGCAGATCGGGCGGGCTATCAATATTAAATGCTTCCTGGTAGCTCAAACGATCTCTAGCTAGTAGCAAGAGACGAATTGGGGAATCCAGGACCGTCAAAAAAGAAGCCGACTATCGCCAATTGTGCTGTTGGTGTCGTTCGAGATGTTCAAATTTCATCGGATGATGAACAACTTTGTGCCGGAGGGACAATATCTGAGCCACATGACAAAACTGCACCGCCACATGCAGCCGCCACAAACGCCCTCACGTAGCTCCCACATGGCTCGTGCTTCGTGAACAACCTCAACCCGCGACGAGGTTGGGCCAATGAGATTGAACTCGAAGGCGGTTGGCCGGCGGTTGCTAGGGCGGCAGTCCCACAAAAACACAGTCTTGAGCCGGAAGTAGTACGTAGCTTTTCCAAGGTTCCAGGTTGCCAGCAGCTTTCGCGACTTGACCTGGATGCAGGCGCGTTTTGTACTGATCTCATCCATCCCGCCCCTCCATACTAAATGTCGAGACCCATCCACCGTCGTCCGTTTACCTTGACCTGGCTCTCTCTTCTTTTGATATTCAAGTTTGTAACTGTGCCTCTCGTCTCTACCGTCTCTTTTACGTTCATCCTTGTTCGACCATCGGGATATTGCCATTTGTTCAGGATTTTCCTTCATCCTACCATTCTCATTATCATCCGTCTGATATCAAGCATCTCTGCTGAATTGTCCAGCCCTACTCGACTTTTTTCCGCACCTACTGCACCTCACGCCGCAGTATTCAATTTTTCGCGCGTTTCTATACGTCCTCGAAAAATAGCCAAGCTATTGCATCACCCCTGCTCCTAACGAGCTCCAATCCTTTTCTTTCGAGTGGGACATCACGCTTGGAAGCCTGACGTACCTAGAGCAACGAAGAGCAACGCGACTTGTCTAGCCGCGTACGGGTACGTACCCACCTTGGTGGATCTCCACAACTCATCTTCCTTACCCGCTCGTCAAAACACTTCTATCGTCCTCACAACCACAACCGTTCTTGAACATAAACATCGTCTCCGCCCAAAGTTGCCCATTGCTCCTGTCCTTTTACCTCTTGTTTACTTCCTTCGCCAACAACCTTCTATTTCGGGCTGGGTCACCCTCGACTAACATACAGCATCAGTCATCGCTCCATCTATCACGACTCACAACATTCCTTTCACGGTGTTTTCACCAGGCTTGACCCAAAGGTTGGTAGCCGAATTCCTCTTCTGATTTGACTGTCTCAGCAACTCGAATGCTGTTTGTCTATATCCTTTCGTGATCTCAGCCATCTTTTCTTTTCATGTTTCTCATTCGACGCGTTGACTAACTGAACTGTTCCAGCACTACCCCCTTGTAAATATTACACCGATCAACAACTAGATAGCCAAGATGCCTCCAGTAAGTGCTCAGACGCGACCGAGAGGCTTGGGTTCCTCCCCTGATCAGCCATTCTAACTTGAGTAGCAGGCTCGGGCCACTCGTACGCGCCTCGCCGGCAACGAGAACGACGAGAACAGCAGCACGACGCGTCTTACAAGAGCCCAAGCTGCCGCTCTCAAGGTTGATGAGCTATCAATGCCTGCTAAGGCTGCCCTGCAAACAAAGAAGTCCACAGTCAACGGTACCGCCGCCAGTAACACGCGGAAACGCGCTGCATTGGGCGATGTCAGTAATGTAGGAAAGGTCGATGGTGTTGCTGGAAAGAAGGCCAAGGGACTGGTCTCCAAGGCTGCTCAGCCCACCGGTATTGAGAAGAAGACCGCGCGTCCTACCACAAGAACTGCTCTCGGCTCGAAGCCTACCAACTCCAAGACTCAGTCCGGTTCCGGTACCATAAACAAGCGAAAGGTTGCAACAGATACCGCCAACACCAAGATAAAAGCTCCCGTCAACGAAAATGAGCATCCTTCCAAAAAGCAGCATCTTATTCCTGAGGAGCGTGAACGATCAGAGACACCAGTCGAGGTTGAAGTCGAGAAGCCTGAGGTCTCTCTGGACAAGGCTGAGGTACAAGATGCACCTTTCGAGTACCCTCCTGGCGTCAAGGACTTGGACAGCGAGGATCTAGAAGATCCTCTTATGGTTGCCGAGTATGCCAATGAGATCTTTGAGTACTTGCGCGATCTTGAGTGCAAGTCGATTCCCAATCCTCAATATATGTCTCATCAGGACGAGCTCGAATGGAAGACGCGTGGTATCTTGGTCGACTGGCTCGTTGAGGTCCATACCCGTTTCCATCTACTCCCCGAAACCCTCTTCCTCGCCGTCAATCTCATTGATCGCTTCCTATCCGAAAAGGTTGTCCAGCTTGACCGTCTCCAGCTTGTGGGAATCACTGCCATGTTTATCGCTTCTAAGTACGAAGAGGTCCTCTCTCCTCACGTCGAGAACTTCAAGCGCATTGCCGACGATGGCTTTACTGAGGCCGAGATTCTGAGTGCTGAGCGATTTATTCTGAGCACTCTCAACTATGATCTCAGCTACCCCAACCCTATGAACTTCCTCCGCCGTGTCTCCAAGGCAGACAATTACGATATCCAGTCTCGAACCATTGGAAAGTACCTTATGGAGATTGGCCTGCTGGATCATCGATTCATGGCCTACCGACCTAGTCACATTGCCGCCGGTGCCATGTATTTAGCACGACTGATGCTTGACCGTGGCGAATGGGTACGTGAAATCCACATTCTTGATGTGGCAACTACTAATCGATCTACAGGATGAGACGCTTTCTTACTACGCTGGTTACACTGAGGACGAGATCGAGCCTGTCGTTCACCTCATGGTTGACTACCTCGCTCGCCCTGTCACTCATGAAGCATTTTTCAAGAAGTATGCTAGCAAGAAGTTCTTGAAGGGTATGTATCTCTCCTAGCGCGCCATGAATAGCCAGCTGACAAATGACAAAGCTTCGATCCTTGCCCGCCAATGGGCAAAGAAAAATGCTGTTCTATTTGGCATCACCGACGTTCATCTGAGCCTTGATGAGCTATCATAGGCACTTTCAAGCCACCACTTTTTATGGCACATGTTATTCGATATTCTGAAGAACAGGATACTCGGCTAGCGGTTGGATTCAGCTACACCGCCGCCTCACGACGTTAATAGATCACCGACGCCCTTTGATAAACCTTCTGGGCCATCATGATACCACACATTCCACTGTCGATACTCGAGCGAGTATGCTATGAAAAGCACTTGCCGTATTGGTCTGGATTCATATTCTCACTGTCTGATATTACGGACAGCATCTGCAATTTTTTGTTTGCGATTGTCTGGTTTTTGCACATTTCCCAAAGCATGCTTTTCGTCTTCATACATGGCGCATGGAGTCACTGGCGAAGGAAGTTAGGGGCTTGGTTCGGCTGGTTGGAGTTGGCTGTGCAGACGGCCTATTCACGGGGCACTGGACGGGGAGTAATGGAACCTGTACGACACGGGCCATGGGGTAGCGGGTGCAAGCTGAGCTTGACATCTGGCGGTCTGGCGATGTTTCTCAATGACTGGAGTAAGAGAACTCGATACGGCTCTTGTGCATCTCGGCTACCGTCGTGAAAAGGGCTTGTGATAGAAAATTGTACATATACCATGACCGGATTACGGAAAGAGCCCAGGGAGGCAGGAATGAAGTTTTACATTTCACGAATACTTGGACCACTGTGGATGATTGTGGGCAGGGCCTTGGATGGTTACAGTGGGTAAATTCGCGTGCTATCGGCTGCCTGCCTAGGTACGGACGGATAGAGCTGGATGTTTACGCAGAACATGATTAATGTCGAAACGGTTGCCGTTGGAGACGGCATCCATAAACATGGTTTTTAATGCACTAGCCTGGACTCGGCTCTCACTGTCGGGTCGCGTCAGGCCCACCAAAGGGTCAGAGACACGCTCCTTTAGGCCTGTGGCTGGTGTGATCCGCACTAACCTTGACGGGATGCTCTCCAATCACCAGTAAACACCATCCAGCACCAAGCTTCAAAGACATTCCAACCTCCACTAACTGTAACTATAAGCCACTTAATCCACTTAATCCAGGTGCTCAAGCTGTCGCATATGTTGAGCGGCAACATAGCTGCTGCCAATTGAGTGAGCATTGGACCTCACAACGAACAAGTTCACACCTGTCCGTCGAATAACATGGCACCGGTCCTTCGAGCAAGACAGAGCTTATCAAAGGATAAGTTCTCTAGTTACTTTGGCAACCTCAGAAGTCAGCCCTACAACGACCCCAATAACTCGCGGGGCTCGAATCCCCATAGGTATGTGTTATCTGACCAGGGGGCCTATTCTCTTATCCCTCTTACTGATTTTGATGGTGAAGCTTGCGATGCATCGCGTGGAATCCGCTCGGGACTCTAGTAGCAACGGGGTCGTCAGAGAAAACCCTCAGAGTGTGTAAGTTGATCAAGTCTGCGGGCCTGTCCGGCCACTAGGGCGAAGCTGAATGAGATAGGGAACCCTGAAAAGCCTCATGTGAAGTTTTCAACGGAGCTCAAGGGCCACTCGGCATCTGTTGAGAAGGTCGCATTCAACCCAACAAAAGATGCAGAGCTTTGCAGTGTGAGCAGTGACGGCGTGGTCAAGTTCTGGGACGTGAGGACAAAAGCATGCTTCAATGAGGTCAAAGGACTTGGGGACGCTTTTACTCTTGTCTGGGCACCAGATGGAAACACGCTTCTCGTTGGGAACAAGGCAGATACCATCTTCGTTCTGTCGCCATCTCAGTCGACGCCTCTCAGCACGCATCAGCAGTCCGTTCAGACCAACCAGATCGCATTCTGCTGGAGCGGTGAGAAGATCTTCCTCACGACAGCTGAAGGACGTATCCGAGTCTTGTCGTACCCTGGATTTGAACCTGTATTACAGAGCAAACATGGAGAAGAGACGGGCGAGTTTGAGCTCAATGGACATACTTCTTCGTGTCTGACTGCTGATCTACAGCCTACGGGGCGGTATCTGGCGACGGGAGGCTCAGACTCAATTATTGCATTGTGGGATACAACAGACTGGATCTGCCAGCGAACAATTACGAGGATGGTCGGGCCAGTGAAGAGCCTCAGTGCGTTCCTTTGATATCGATTTATAGTGGATTCGCTAACCTTTTTGACTTCAGGCTTTACGTTTGATGGTAGTTTTGTTGTCGGTGGAAGTGATGAAGGTAAAAATTTCTTTCCCCATGTTTTGGGGTGCTTTTGCTAATTTGTTTTTTTGGTAGGATCTGGCCTGGAAGTATCGCATGTCGAGACGGGAGAGCATGTCCACACGTTCAAGACAGCGGGTGCTTGCCCAGTAGTTGCTTGGGCTCCAACACGGTATTGCCTTGCATATAGTGATTTGGGCATTTTGCGGATCGTGGGCGTCGATGTTGATAGGAAATAAGACATATAACCCCTTAGTCACGTTTAAGTAAATAATATGAGTGTCTATAGCGGCCCTTGGAAGCCCTCACTTCTGCAAAAGCAATTGGTACTGTATAGAATATTTCGTCGTCAGCATGCAACCCGTCATAGGCCAGCCTTACTTGTTTCTTATGAAGCTCTTGATAGGTTTAGGTCGTGTGTAAGACGGGCTAAATAAGGACCGGCACATCCACGTATGGCCTCGCTATGTGGAAAAGCGGGATGAGCCAAGGCAAATCCGGTCAATGTAGACGAAGAGCATTTGAGGTCATCGTGGCCCAGAGACTGCATGATGGGGGCCTGGTCCTGCTGATGTGCTGCTCATGGATGACAGTCAGTTACAATGGGAAATGTATATCTTCACTCAGAACGCTATGCAATGTGTTTATATCAAGCTCATCCAAGATAGATAGCTTCCGGGTTATACATCTAGTATGTTTGCTATGATATGTGATACTGGGAGGTATCGGAAACAATAGAACGTGCTGTACCTGACAAGAAGGAAACATGCATGCCCGTGTGAGAATAGACGTTGTGTATCATGGCCTCTAGTACTATAGTCAAGTCTTGATTCTTCAACCAAGGGAATAGTTGGGAATTGACCATGACTGTTAGGTGTTAGGGTAATTAAAGTTCCCGCGATGTTTACAGTTGATTGTTTCTTTATTATGTCTGTATGAATTCAGTGCTTGTAATGATTAGGTTTCAGTTAACTCTAAACGTGCAGTGGCTAAGTTGTCACCAACGGTTAACCGAGATGCTGAGGAAGTATTGTCGTTGTTGAATTGTGGAATTGAGTAACTCTATTTGTGTTTTGCGATCTCATACGAGTACGAGTGCTGTTTCTGGCTTTCTTATTGACACAAAATGTTGATATCATTCTTCTCAAGGTTGACGATGATATTTATTCAAGTCGGCCGCCCGCCGACATAAATGGCTGCCACTAGAAGAGCGGAAACAAGCGAAGTGTGTGGCTGTGTTAACCTAGAGGACATATGATATCTGCAAGTAATCGTGGATGTTGGCGATATAAGTTCAAGAGATGTGGTAATAACTTCTTGATGACGAATACAGTCATCTTCAGTACTTGGGGATTTTCGTCGAAAATCTCGAGATCAATATTTAATGCTAATTTCCTTTGCACTTGGGTTGTGGAAACAAACTGAGGGATAACCTAAATGCGAATTGCTACTGTACTATGTAAGTCTCAATGCTATTATTAATCCTCATGCACAACGACCTCCAACCTTGCAAGACTGACGGTACAGTACAAAAGACACTACAACTGTGCAGTACCTCACTGGCCACCTCTGAAAGCCAGCGACATCTTATAGGCGCGCCAGGCAGCCAAGGTGTATCGCGGCAAGCACCCCTCACACGCAAGCTACCTGATAACCGTGGAGCCGTTGGCTGCCATTAGAGGGTAAGAGACTCTAGTAGGCTCTAGTTGTTCCCCACCTTCCATCCGACGACTCCCTCAAGGGTTCCCACCTGCCTCCGTCTTTAACCCCGTAACCTTACCTTACTCACGGTGGTGAGCTCGAATCCCATCGCTCCATGCTCCGTATTGCCGTTTCTTTGGTCCAACACCAACACATTATCTTCCGGACTTTATCAGTGTCGGTCTTCCCTCCTGATTTCCACTTCTGTTATCGCACTCTTAAATATCCGGATCTCTCTCCGGGAGGTGCGGACCCCTACGACCGTGTCATTCAGCCCGTCCAGCATTTCTTATCCCCGCCGTCTGATCAATCGGTTTGCGACACCAACCCTCCGATATCAACAAACACAGCCTTCCAGATAGTCCCCCATGCCGGACTCAAATGAGAAGGGAGCTGGCACCACCGGCAACAAACGTCCACGAAGCGACGACGCCGATGGGGACGAAACAGCGCCTCAGCAGGAAATACCCGATAATGCGAGCGTTCCCAAGCCAAAACGGCTGGCATGTATGATATGTCGGAAGCGCAAGCTCAAGTGCGATGGAGTCAGGCCTAGCTGCAGTACCTGCTCCCGTCTTGGTCACACTTGCGCCTACGACGAACAGCGGAGGAAGAGTGGTCCTAAGCGTGGTTACGTCAAGGCTCTGGAGGAGCGACTGAGTGAGCCTCTTCCCGACATACTATCAACTATTGGGTTTACTGACATGCCGCGCCTTTACAGAACAAGTCGAAACGTTGCTGAAAACCCAGGAACCTCCGCAGAATATTCCAAAGAACATCAATGTTGCAATGTCTGGACCGCCTCAGACAACATCCCCTGCGAATCTTAATATCTCAAATGCGCCTATAAACCTTACTGGGGATCATAGTATGGACCAACACTGGAACTTCACCGATAAATCGCCACAGCAAGGAGCCATGGACGACTTCAATTTCAATGCCAGTCTAGATATGGGCATGAACAATGTTGGTGGTACTTTCACATGGGAAATGATTGGTTTGGGTCTCGAGGAGCCTCTGCCTCCCCAAGAAACCATTGACGAGCTTCACCAGATTTATTTCGAGAAGGTTCATCCGTCTATTCCCATGATTCACAAATACCGTTACCTTGCCGCCATGAATCTGTATGTTGTTTCCTCATACTGTGGAAAAACTAAAATGTCTAACCAGTTATCACAGCGCTCCGAACCAAAGGCCACCGGTTTGTCTGCGGTATGCCATGTGGACTCTTGCATGTACCATAACAGATAAATATGCAGATCTGAAAGATCTCTTCTACCGTAGAGCGCGGAAGTATGTTGAAGCGGATTACGTCAAGGGTTATGGAGAACACATGATCTCTATTGCTCACTGTCAGACACATACTCTGCTGGCCTCTTATGAAATGAAGATGATGTATTTTCCCCGGGCCTGGATCAACACTGGCTCTGCCATCCGCCTGGCTCAAATGTATGTACTCCCTGAGTGGCGCCCCTTTTCCTTACTGACCATTGTAGGACTGGTCTCCATAGACTGGACGGAACGGGCCTCGACGTCAAGCAATGCCTTGCACCACCGAAGGATTGGACAGAACGAGAGGAACGACGTCGAACATTCTGGATGGCTTTCTGTCAAGACCGGTATGCTAGTATTGGCACGGGCTGGCCCATGACCATTGACGAACGCGACATCATGACCAATCTCCCTGCTTCAGAAGATGCCTTCATCATGAGCAAACCTGAGCAGACACAGTCGCTATCAGAATGCACTAGCCCCATGGGTGCAGGTAAGCTGTCGCCGTTTGGAGGTATCGTGCTCATGGCCTGCCTGTTTGGCAGAAATTTGGTACATCTGCACCGTCCTGATGCCGATGACCTTGACAACGACCTGAATGGTCCGTTCTGGAAACGACACCGCCAGATGGACAATATTCTCCTCAACACATCCCTTTGTCTTCCTCCCCAACTCAAGCTTCCCACTGGTTTGTCGAATCCTAACATTGTCTTCACAAATATGAGCATCCATACCTCGACCATCTGTCTGCATCAAGCCGCTATCTTCAAAGCGGAGAAGAACAACTTGCCCGCGTCGGTCAGTGCCGAAAGCAAAGTTAGATGCATCACAGCTGCCAACGAGATTGCCAGCATCATGCGCATGATTTCCCATATGGATCTCTCAACAGTAAGTGTTGCCAGCTATCATCCACTAGCAGAGATTCTAATATGCTATTAGGTAAACCCGTTCATCTCCTTCTGCCTATACGTATCGGCGCGAGTATTTGTACAGTACCTTAAGAGTCGACCGGACGACAGCCAAACGGCAGACTCACTTCGCTTCTTGCTCTCTGCAATGAACGCGTTGAAACGCAGGAATCCATTGACTGAGTCGTTCCTCGTTCAGCTCGATGTCGACCTCGAAGCACTTGCACTGAGAATCCCCAAGCTGAAGACAGCCTTCCCACGCAACAACGATGGTGTATGTTGGCCCCACGCCGTTTCTCCTCGAATAACACTAACGTCGCAAAGCCTACCAATCCAGGAGCGCCCAGAGGTGCTAGGTGTGATAACCCGGAAGGAATGCAGGGCATAGCAGCATATCGTAATGAATGCAACTATATGCAACCCTCGACAGGTGACGGAAACCAACCGGATCTTGTTGAGCCTAATCATAGCGTACCAGATATCACAACTGCTGAAGAGAGCTTCGCTACGCAGGCTTGGATGTCGTCTGACCAACAATTACCCATTCTTACACCTAGCTCAGGGGCGACATTCGAAAAGACTGGATCTGGCAGTCGAACGATGTCTGGTTTTGGCGATGTAACAGGTGATAGCCAAGATGCTTCAGGATCACCTGATGGATTGACATCAAATCGACCTACACCAAATTCGAGCTCAGGATCTGACCAACGGAACCATCTGGCCCCTGGACAGCTGAACGGATCCGGACACAACTCTTTCAACGCGAGCCCAATGTCGCCGAATCAGACTTTGATGAACCCGAGTGTTCTCGATGGGAGCACACAAGGATTCTTTTCAGACACAGCTGGATTTACGATGCCGACCAGCCTTGACCAGAGTGGAGGTTTTTCAATGCCTGATGGCTGGGGAGACATTCAAGGACAATCAGGGATACCACAAGTTGGCGAGGGCGTCTTACGGGCCTTGATGAATATGGGACCAATGGACGCCATGGATTTGGGAACATGGGAAACAAAGGATACCTGAATTCGGTGAAGAGGGAAATATTGCAGGCGGGATTGTTGGGCAAGCAAAACATGGCATCGAGAGCCTAGCCGGGATCCAACAATTATCATAAAACGAAAGAGAAGGAGGTGAACACACCACAGATCAGAATTGGCACCAGGGGCGTTTATACGGGACAAACATATCGGCAACTTTGTACACTATGGGTTGGGAGTCTCATGGAGGACTTACCATGTATGTTTTGAGTAATTCTGAAGGATACCCGGGTTCTAATGACAATGAAACACCACTATCACGACCATAATAGGTGCAGGGAAGGAGAAGAGCTGCGTTATTGGATACCGGCGTGCCGATGTTGTCCATGCTCTCAAGGCGATCCTGCTGGGCATAGTATTAATCAATTCAAGAGCCACGCCCGGTTAGCTCAATCGGTAGAGCGTGAGACTCTTACGAGTACGCGATCTCAAGGTTGCGGGTTCGACCCCCGCATCGGGCTGTTCCTATAATACGATTGCGAGCGATTTGCGAGGCTTTCATTTTTTGTCGGGGTTTTCAAAGGTTCCATCTTTGCGGCTTTCTTTTGTCTTAAGTGGAGATATCGTTAGATATTGTAGTATGGTCCGTGCATGATTGGTGGGGCGTTTGCCTTGTTGCTTCTTCTGGTATGTAGCTGCAGCTCAATAACACCGTGCCCCTCTTTCAAGCAATGACCCAGGCAACATCTTAAAGCAGCAACAGAAGCGTCAGAAAGTGCCACCAAGAGGAATTTATCGTGCCCACCGAGGGACGAATCTTACAGTGGAGTTTTTTTTTTTTCTCATCATCGCCGTGGCTGTACTAGGACGGAGACCCACTGTCATGGCAGCTCCGCACACCCCGCCTCCGGGCTCCGCCTCCGCCTCCGGGCCGGGACTATCCGCAACGTTCTCAACTCCGGGTCTGCCACCGGATTATCGCGATGCGCTTGGGCTTGATCTGCATGGATATGTGGCTCCCAGTATCGAAGAGGCTTATCATATCCATGCTTTGCACAATGGCGCTGCTATCGCGACGCCAGCAACCCCTGGCCAATTTGGTATACTCGCGCCGATAGCAGTGTCGGTGCCTGTTATGGAAACACCAGTCGATGGAATATTCAGTGTGCAGAATAATGCTCACAGGCAGGAGGTTGGAAGATCAAATGGCCACTTGAGCAGTAAGATTATTGTTGATCCCCCGGATCTGGAGATGTGGCGGAATAAGCTGTTCAACGTGGACGAGACGATAGTTCTTACACATGAAGAGTAAAGAAGCCCCCCTCAATCCGTGATGGAATTTCCAGTCCTTAACGGTCTTAGGTTCGAGACATATTTTCCTCATGTAGACAACGTCTACTCCCATCGTTCGACACAGCGTTATAAGCGCAAGCCGTTCATCTCACACTACTGGGACTGTCGTATGAAAGGCCGTCCTCCAGGAACACCCAAATCCGATGACCCCAATAAGAAGAAACGAAAGCGAAATGCGCGCCAGCGCGATCTATGTGATGTCAAGATAAAAATTACAGAGCACTTCCCGGGGGCTCGACTGGGCCTTGATAACACCAGTGGTCTTGACGTAAGTCTGGCAGGACAGCGATTGTGGACAATACAGAGAGTCAATGGCAATGGAGGTAATGGAAAGGGAGACGGTGTGGCTGGGCCACATAAGCATACGCTTGAAAGGAGTGACGAGATAAAGAAGAATAGTGTGCAGAGGTATTTGGCAAACCAAGGGGGTGTGAAAAAGGACAAGGAGAAGGTCCAGGTAAGCCATATCCATGACGCCAATTCTGAAGAAAAGGAGTTCCTAATATGGGGAATTCTTGAAAAGGCTCCTCTGAAAGCCACAGGAGCTGCACTACTCACAGCTAGAAAACACGCGAAGGAGAATGAAATCAAGCTCTACGCGGCATGTTTCTGGTATGTCGAACTCATACTCAAATACAGTCACATTTCCATGTACACTAACCGCAAAAGTCCATTCTCTCAACGTATTTGGATCGCTCTGGAGGCAAAAGGCATGCCCTACCAGTACTGCGAAACAGATGCCTTCCGTCACCCAACCCAACCCCTCCTTGCTGACCCTAATGGCTGTGTGCCAACCATAGCACATAGCGACTGGTCATGTTCGAATAGTGCTGTCATATTAGAATATGTGAGTCTCGTCTCCTAGTTGCTGGTTTGTGATATTGATGAGGTCCGTAGCTTGAAGATCTCGGCCAAGGAACACCGATGCTTCCGGTAGATTCAAGATTGAAAGCCAATTGCCGTTTCTGGATTGACCATGTAAGATACATCCCACTATAGAATCAGAGGCGACGCTGACCTCATGGAGATCAACCGTCATATCGTCCCGAACTTCTTCAAACTCCTCCAATATCAAGACCCGGCTCTTGGAGATGAAGCAAGAGTTAGTTTACAGGGCAGTATAGATACTCTTGTCGAAGCTGCAGACAAAAAGGTAGTTGATCCTTAGCTCTCGGTACATCACCTGTGACCGATATACTGACTCCAATTCATCATAGGGCCCGTATTTTCTTGGGCGAAGCATGTCTCTGGTCGATATACATCTAGCACCTTTTGCTCTTCGATTCTATAGGACTCCGATCCCTGGGAATATACCGTCTTCCCCGCCTGGATCACGCTGGGCGCGATGGCTGGATGCTATCGAGGGAGATAGGAGCGTGCGAGCCACAACCAGCAACCACGTGTTATACAGTGAGACACTAGATGCCTTGATAAAACAACATGGGCGCCATCAAATTCAAGAGGCTACACATCGATAGTGAGCCCCTAGCAATGCCTGAAATTCCCGGTACATTGGAAAGATTGGTATGAAATATCGACCGGAGCAGTAGGATGTACCTTTTCCAGGCGTATTCCGGTTGCGGTTAAGGGGTATCTATTTCATTATGAATATTTATATGGAAAGCATAGCGCCTGGCGAGGGCGCATAGCGCCGCAAATATGTGATAATTACAGTTCAAATTGCCATGAGGCCTCTATATAGTACCATCTGGCACAGAGGGATCGCTTCTCATGGACCCTCTCTTCCTCCTCTTGATAGCATCCCACTTCTCCTCTATCGTCACTAGCTCGCCCCCAAGTCGTGCTTTGACTCTTCCTTCACCAAGCTCCTCGAGCGTTTTGGACTCGAGGTAACTCTTACCATCGTACTCGACGCGACGTTGGGAATCAGGTAGGTATGCCCAGGAGAAGATGGCACCCACAGCAGCCACAGACCCAAATAGGAGAAAGATGAGTCCTTGCCTGTTTTCTGCTTGATATGACTGGTTTATTCCGTACACCACCAGAACAGCAACGAGACTGCCTAGCTTCCCTGCAGCAGCTGAGATTCCGTGGCACAGACAACGATAGCAGGTCGGGAAGATTTCGGCTGGTATGATAAATGTTAATGTGTTGGCGCCTGGTAATCCATGGTTAGTTCTGGACATGCGGAACAGAGAGCGTGTCAACTTACCAAAGTTGAACATGAAGTGACAGATGGCTACAAACACCACTGTGGCCGGGGCACCTTTTTGTTGATGGACGCCATAGTAGACGCATCCAGTGATGACGAAGAACCCAGCTAGAACGAGGAAGGATGCCGTGAGCCACTGACGTCGAGGGATGCGGTTGGCAAATATGACGAAGCAAGCGCTGCCTGCAATCGATGCAAGCGAGACGGTCAAGAGATATTGCTTTGTTTGCTCGATAAGCACGTCGTAGATGGTGTTGCAGGGGTGCGTTGCGTCGGTCGACCAAACTGGAAGTCCATCGGTGGCCCAATCCGGTACTGTCGAATTTCCCCCGCGAAGTGATGATGTCCAACACTCGAGGGAGTCGTCAATCTTGGTCGGCGTGGTAGTCGCCCACATCGTCGACAGAGTGCCTCTATTATCGAGGCTCATGCCATAGAACGAAACGTCCAAGAAAAACCATGTTGCCGCCGTGCCCAGTAGATATGCCCAGTTCCCATCGCGGATGAAGTAGTTGTGGAGGTCCTCTCTCGAAAACTGCACCGGCATCGGCTGCTGCGAGCTACTAGCAAGATGCATACCATCTCCAAGACCATTTGTGCGATATGAAGGTGCAACATGGTTCCCATCGGGCGAGGTAGTCTGATATGTTGTCGGTGCTTGATTTTGAACGAATTGGCTCATCGGGAACGAGTTTTGTCCGCCAACACCGCCACTCATAGAGCGCCCGTTGACACCTCCGCTGGGGAAGGCTTCTAACCCAGCACCTTGCGGAGCACCGTAGATTCTTTGAGTATTTGCTAGAGCCATCCTCGGCTTATTCCTGACCTCAAGGCTGTAAATACCACAGTCGAACAGGAAGAAGCGGAAGATGATGGCTAGTAGTGCAGGGACGGCACCTGACCCGATCACAATGCGCCAGACGCCGTCCAATGCCTTTTTGCATTCCTCTTCATGCAACCTATCGAGTCCGCAACGCATTCCTTGGAGGTTGTGACTTCGCTCGAAGCCGAGGAGGACAAACAGACCGACCAACTGGGCCAGTGCCTGGCCGATGGGCTGCATCATGAAAACGGACGAGAGCATAGTAGCGCGAGATTGTGTACTGGACCATTCCGACGTGATTACAGCGCTGAGCGGGTATTCGGCTCCGATTCCTATGGTGTTTGTTAGCATCCAAGTTTTGTCATTCATGGTTGGAAGCCAGAGGTTGCTCAGGATTCACGCACCAATGCCCATGACAAAACGCCACCAGATGAACAGGCCGAGAAAAGAAAGATCATTGTAGCCATGGCTGCTCGTGGCGACTCCAATCGTAGAAACAATAACCAGGACGAGCTCAACGCCATAGAGGCGAGTTCGACCATAGCGATCCGCAAGGTAGCCAAAGAGGATCTGACCAACGACGGATCCCAAGAGCGTAAAGAAGTTAATCAGTAGACCCGACCATTCCGGACCATTGGGCCAGTATACAAATGCGATAGAAGCGAGGATTACATTTGTTGAGAAAAGATTATAGCTATTCACGAGTTAGGACGTCGTTGTGCAGAAGTGACGAGGAGAAAGCTCACGAATCTGTTAAAAAGCCAGAGGCGCAAACACCCCAGATGCGAAAGTTCCATGAGTTTAAATCAAGCTCGTAGCGTAATTGTTGACGATCCTGTTATGCCAGAACCGCTGTTAGTCCACAACATCAGGATCATCGAGATACAGGAGGGAGCCTTATGTACGTGGCACACTGATGGCCACGCTTGATGGATAGATATGTAGGTAGGTAGGCAAACGATCAACGAGAGACGCATTGACTTACCTGTGCATCCTGCGATGGCAGAGCAGAACTGTCAGAGCCCAAAAACCCGCGGTTTTGGCGCAAAGGATATCTCGAGAGAATAGACATGATTCGCGACGGGGATGAGCAGCAGTCGCAAAAGTTCCAGTTCGGTTCAGTTCAGAGGGGGTGGTCTGAGAACTCCTTTCGGGCAAACTGATCCAAAAGAGCCCGATGGGCAAATTACAAGACAATTACTGGGATTGCGGACAAGCAAGGTCCAGAAAGGAAGAGGAGAGGATTGCAATTCTCATGGCCGTGCTTCCATTCAGCGGGAGTACAGCAAGAATAGAGAAACAGAATATGCCGTTGTCAAGTCAGAATCAGAGCAGGCCGCGAGCTATGAATGAATGAATGAATGGGTGTGGGATGCCATCGCAAAACTGTGTGGCAGGCGGTTTAAAGAAGGACTGTGTGCTGTGCCAAGCGCGCGCCGCAACGATGAATTGCTTTGAGCTGACGGACCCTTGGCTAAGGCACGCTTGGCTTCACTTGGCAGAGCCCTTCGAAGATTAACTTAATTACCCTTGTAGAAGCGCGACCGGAGCCTGGGTACCGACGTACGCGGATTAGAGATCGTTGGCGCTCCAAGTGTCTCAGTATTGAGCTGAACAAAACGTCTCCGAGGGACCAGCTTCGATAGGTCAGCGGTGCCAAGAAAACCAATACAGCACCATGCAAGTTAATTGTCTGGAGAAGGGCGACGATCTTTTGAGCAGCAGAAACACAAATGACTTGCTTCAGCGACTGTTTAAGGGTCCCTTGTCAGCCAGACTTGGTAGCCCGTGTGGGTACAGAATTGTCCGACTTGTGAAGGGCAATAAATGCCTTGAAGGATAACCCAAGGGGGGGGGGGGGGCACCTCTGCCCTGAGTCTGGAACCACTGTGGCTTATAGACTTGCATTGAGTTAACCGTTTAAGACAACGGAAGAAGGCATTGGCATCTTGAAAGAGGCACGTGGTGTTGAAGCTTGGTCGGCAGGGCGTGGGGGGATTTGATGTCGCGAAGACGTGGTTTACATAATCATCTTTAATTGAAGGTGAAGTAGAAGCGATTCGATACTTACTGTTGCTCATGACAGATGCACTTCAAGGGAGACGGCGCTGTACTCTACACCTTACTTTACTTTACTTTACATACCCATGCTGTACCTTGACTAGTGCCTCGCTGAATCAATCTGGATCCAACTACGGAGTATGGAGTGCTGCAACCCAATTCCATGGTTCGGGGAATGCAGTAGATCGACGTTGCGACCCTCAGCGCAGAAGATCTAAGCCGTTATTGCACATATCCATAGTCTTAACCGTCTTGATATGATTTATCTCAACTCAAAGAGGAAGGAAGGATATCTTTATATCATGGGGAGCAGGTCATTCTCGGAACGTGACAGGGCAAATGGTGATTCCAAGGTTATATAACTCGATGAGCATATCGAAAACTCACATGCCAAACGTTTCTTTACTTACACCACGAAACGACTTCCAGCCCCGACTGCAATTGAAGGATCGCTGAGCGTGCCGAAGCGTGGCTCTTCCACTCTTCACCAGACCATTATCGAAACATGCATCTCCATTACTGTGCAAAAACTCCAAGCGATGCCATCACGCTCAGAGTAACTAAGACTCATTGGAGGCTCCAACACCAGCTGAGGTGATGGCGGATACTACCTATACAGTAGTAGTGCGCGGCTCTGCCCGGCTAGGCGTTGGTTTTCTGGGTCCGTATTCGTGATGCCGCGGATCTGTCGAGTGATGCCAACGAGACTGATAACTTTCTCAAGTCACAAACATGCGATCAATTCCAGATCCTGGTGACATCCATATCAAACAAGACTGACGGCCCAGGCAATCGGAATTGCTAGCCGAAGCTTGGCCTAGCTCCAATGCAATGCAATGTCATGGACGTTAGGTTGGCTCATAGCGAGCGAAAAGCAAAAAATAGGTAACTAGGTAGAAAAAAAAGTCGAAGAGACCCCCGGAACATTACAAGAGCCCCACGACACCCAAGCTTTCTCGGCCGTGTTGGCCCATCAGAATGTCGCATGGACCCCCGTGCGCGGTGCTCCCGCTGTTAGTGGACCACCAATGGAAGACAAGCTTCTGCCCATGTGGCGTCGACCCTTGGCTGTCGGTTGCACAACGACATTGCTTGGAGTTCTGGGGACGACTTCTGTCGATGCGCTCCTCTTCTGTTGGCAACAACTGGCGGCTTTGCGACAGGCAGCGTGCAGCGTGCCTGTCTGTGTGTGGCTAGCCTTACCTGCCTACAGGTATCCATCCTCCTCGCCAATTTGGTGCGGGCCCAAACATATGTACTACGTATGGACAGGCCCCTCGTTGAGTCGACATCCGTGGAAATTCACCGCGTTCGTCTATCTACTTTTTTTTCCCCAGCACGATTTGCGATGGATGATGCTGGCCTGCAGCTGGTTTATGGGACGAACAACGAAAAACAGGCACACTTGCTTAGCTCTAAAACTTCTAGGAAATCGCCTTGAACTTTGATTTCTCTCCTGTCCTATCTTGGGCTGGTCTGGTCTGGTCTGCTTTGCCCTCTACATACATACTGCTGTTGCAACAGCTTCGGTGCGATATCTGTATGTACGTGAGCTCCAACTTTACCTCATCCAAGGTTGGGATCCTCGGCACCTGGAGCCCATCAAGCACACCATTGTACACGTACGGATACAGTACTGGAACTCCCAAGGTCTAGTTTCCTGCTGTCGTATCGGAGGGGCAGACGAATGCACCAGCGGCTTCCGGAGCTACCCTTGCCAATCTAGTGCTTGAAGTCTATCCCGACTGAGTGTACTCGGTGCCTCCACGTTGTATCGCTGCCCTATTGTTGAGATTCTGCCTTTGCGCCGGCCCAGGCATTGGCGATATCAGGACCTCGACAGCCAAGAGCCTGCCGAGCCGCCATTGCTCTGTCAACATAAGCTTCCACACAACAGACCTGACCGTTGCCCGAGTTCAGGCCAAAGCGTGTCAACGGCTTTAGGGCTGGTCATTGGGATCTTCAAGAAGGCGCACGCAGAGACCACTCGCACCTCCTGCGCCGTTGTGACCGTGTCATGACATGTCCCCACCGCTCGGTCAGTCAGATCGCCCTCGACTGCTACCAGCGACAGCATGTCGTCCTCGGGCTCATCCTTTACTTCCTCGTCGCTCGGTCGCCCGCCAACATACGGACGAACATACGTCAGTCCGGTTGATTCAACCTGGACTCCCACCTCCGGCATATCAACCATTTCTGCTCCGACCACCGAGGGGTCGGGAACTGGGACCTCGGTACTCGATTTGGGACCCCCAGGTTTCCAAGCAACAATGTGCGGTTCTCCCGGCCCGCGGTTGATATAAATGACGTTTCATCTGGCTGACACTGGGATACATCTAGAATTCTTTTTCAAGATACTCCTGACGAACGAGTCGTTTACTTGGGGCCTTGGGAAGTGGTGGGTTCTGAGCAGCGCCGTGTTCTATGGCAGGGTAGCTACCAGAACGAATTGCTCGAACACTTCTGTATGTAGACTTGGCTGCTGCTTTCCACACCCGATGTCAGCTAACTCAATTCACTCTCAGTGCCCTCCGACACACCCTCCGACATATATCCTCATACCCTCCACTCGCGTCATCGCCCGTACTACGACCCTTCGGACATGGAAAGATATCTCACGTTTCAGGAACCTCACCGGATTCGATACACAACGGAAGAGGGTGTTTGTATACATGACCAGTACGTCACGATCAGATATGAGTTCACGACAGTCGAGAGCTCTATTCAGTTTCAGGGAGATTTGCGCAGAAAGGACCTAGTTGATTTCTATGACGTCGACGTCGTTTGGACAAACGTCCATGGTCGCACAGATGGCTTCGGCAAGGTGAAGGGGATCGGTGCGATTCAGAGACTCAAGCTGTGGAGGGATCGATATACCACTTTCCACTCCCTCAGCGTGTGTGCGAATAAGACGGATGGCCAATACCGAGAGTATGATATTCACTCGTTCGACGGGGAGCTGCGCGGGCGGGACGACCGCGCAAAACAGCTTCGACTCAATGCGTCTGGCAGACGGCATACTTCGGGCGACGACCAACACTCACACCGACGCTTTTCACTGCCGCATCGTATGCGATCTCGAACCAGAACGAATGATTCCTCCGAGCCAAGATCATTGCAGCAGCCGACTCTCGACATACGATATCTGGCCATCCAGTTTACTGAGCGTCAAGGTTAGAATCCCCTCGCAGGAGCAACGGCTGCCCTGGCCGGATCTCCAAATCCGTCTCCCGACATGTCAGCTAACAGTCAGACCAGCATACCGACGATTTATCGAGACATGGCTTTATTGCCACAGTTCGGACCGTGAATTCAACGGCATCCCATTTCCACCAAACCATTTCGAATTACCCTCGCCGCAGATTTTGCCGGGACATTCTCCCGATTTACCGGTGTCAGGATGGCCGAGCCACATGCTCGAATCGGTGCCAGAACCCTCGGATGCGGCCGAAGCTACGCCTTGAAAGGTCAAATCCGAGTCAGATGCCATATCAGTATCCTCGACCAGTTGCACCACCGAGACGAGCCACATGCTCGTGCTGCAGTGCGTGCCCAAGTGGGGTGACAGCAGTTACAAGGTTTGACGTTGACACCTCACACCCTTTCACCTGTCAGAAATGAAAGCGCTCATCGAACGCCGCCCAAAAAAGGCGATAATCAGCAGCCGCCCGTAGGGGATTGGCTGGTATGTCAAACAGAGGTTATCAGGCTGTATACCTTATGTCGCTATCCGTGGGCAGACAACGGGGAAATGCTCGGGGCGCCCCCACACCCACTCTGAAAGACCCCGCGGTGCCTGGATCGTACCATGGAGCTGTGTCGTCATTGAGATGCACAACCCGTCATGAATGGGAAAGTTCATAAACTCAACTCAAGCTTCCCTTCCCCCAGCGTCGCTCACTGCTGCCACTGCTCCCCGTTCCTGATACACACTCAACACCAAACCATTGACCCCTTCAACGTCGCTCCATCGGTCATGAAGGTCATTCTCGCCATCAATGCCGGCTCCAGCTCGGTCAAGATCTCGGTTTATACTGCAGATAAGAACGCGGAACCTCGTCAAATCGCAGAAGCCTCAATCGGGGGATTGACTGCCCCGCCAGCAACGCTTGCTTATACGCGTCGCGGTGAGAAGGTGGTCAAGGCGAAAGAGGTTGCCGAAAGCGTCAAGAATCAAGAGGATGCTTTCGACCTTCTCCTCAAGACATTCATTGACGACAATGAACTCAAGGAGATATCTTCAAAGGAGGACATTGCCATCGCCAGCCATCGCATTGTCCATGGCGGAGACTATGATCGGTCGCAAGTCATTACCCAAGATGCTTATCACCACCTTGAAGAACTCAGCGACTTGGCACCGCTTCACAATGGTGTCGCCTTGAGCATCGTCGATACTTGCATCAGCGCGCTACCCAAGACCATCAACGTCGCCTGTTTCGACTCACAGTTCCACACAACTATCCCTCCACACATCTACACCTACCCCATCGACCCAAAGATCGCAAAAAGCAATCGCTTACGCAAGTACGGATTTCACGGAATCAGTTATGCATTCATCACAAGAGCCGTGGCCCAGTATCTTGAAAAAGACGTCGACAGCTTAAACATGATCGCTCTGCACCTTGGTAGCGGTGCCAGCGCCTGCGCCATCAAGGGCGGCAAGAGTTGGGATACGAGTATGGGGCTGACACCTTTGGCGGGCCTGCCTGGAGCGACTCGAAGCGGCAGTGTTGATCCTAGGTAAGGCGCTCAATCCCTCAAAAACACCCTTAGCCCGGAGTCCAGAACCCTGAACCATGCCCCACCGGATGCGGCGGAATGCTACTCTCATCAGATCATACATGAGATCCGGAACCGAGGGGTGGGATCAGGGTCTTCCTTTCTAAATTAAGGTTCTTGCATGCTGACCCTTGCCAACCTTTACAGTCTCGTCTTCCACTATGCCTCCGATGTGGGGAAACTCTCCCCTGCATCCACCAAACATCTTCACATTTCAAGGGCTGAAGAGATCCTCAATAAGGAGAGCGGCTGGAAGTCCATGACGGGCACGACCAACTTTGGCGTCGTTGCCGAGTCAGACGAGCCCACCCACCGCCTGGCCTTTGAAATCTTTGTCGATCGCATTGCCGGCTTTGTCGGCTCTTACTTCGTAACCCTCGAGGGTCGTGTCGATGCTTTGGTTTTCGCAGGCGGCATTGGAGAGCACAGCGCTAAGCTTCGATCTGCTGTTGTCGAGAGGGTTGCCTGCTTAGGCTTTGCCCTCGATGATGCTAGTAATCAGGAACCTATCAAGGATGTGGTCCAGGAACTCGGCAAACGCGATGCCAGGCAGCGGGTGCTAGTCTGTCAGACAGATGAGCAGCTGGAGATGGCCAGATTATGTGCAGAAAAGGAGGATATATGGGAGTAGGGAACCGCACATGGTACGAGAATTATGAAGTATGATGACAATTAGTTGAGTAACGATACCGGATGATTTGATGATCAAAGCATATATACATATAAAAATTAGACTTTTATTTCTCATATGTAACGTGGCTGGCATGTGCGTTTTGGAAATGTCTCAGGCTTGTCAGAACATTCCATGCGACGAAACTCAGAAGCGCGTAAAATGAATGGAGTTACCTGCCGACCATCAGGTCATTGGTTACCAAGAGCATACCATAAACAAGTGTTACAATGTGGATATACGTTTGTCCTTGGCAAAGCAGAGTCTTATGAGTATTAATCTAGATTAGCTTGGCTAGGTAGGTAGGCGATGACAAGCTCACAAGGTATTGCAATAATGAGCCATAGCGTTGATGTTGAATGGAAACAGCAAGTCATCGTTAATTATGCTGGTGATGAAAAAAAAAAAAAGAATTTATGGCATACACCAGTGTAAACAAAGGTATTCTATCCCTTCACATTGATTGACATTAAGTGATGCTTGGCGAGAAGATGAGCGAAAATTCAAAATGGTATCAATTGTGTACAGTTCATGTGTTGAATCCAGAGTAGGGGCCCCAGTGATGGCACCTATCCAACTCCTGGGGACTACACATGAACCTGCCTCACTGCCGTCTAAATACAGCCGTAAGGGGCAGCGACTAAGTGTGTACTAATGCCGCTGTCTCGTCTTCTTCCGGCACCCATGCCCCTAGAGATGCCCGATACAGCCCTCGAATGGGCCTATCCCAAAAGATCTTATAGTTGAACAAAAGTTGGAAACATGAAATCGTGAAACCCCGCCAACGCCATGCGTTTTTTGCCCTCGAGTTTGAAACTCCAAGAGGGTGCGTCCTGTCGTCATTTATCTAAACCGTGTGCCTTATATGGGGAGAACCATCCGTGTAGCCATTCGTATACTTGCGACACCGTCCAATCCCAGACACCTTTTGAATAAATGATAAATAGAAAAAGGAAGAATAAAACAAACCCATCCAAGTGGAAAGAAAACGCCTTTGAATCCGGGTTGCTCCTCGTGTGTTCATACAACGCCGTATAGAAACAATACATTGAACAGAATAAAAGTGCACCAATGTCTGTGTGGGTCGGGGGAGTCATGAGAGGAATTGTTTGTGCCCCCAAGGATCAAGTCGACAGGTGGAGTAAGTTGTGTGAAGATAGAGATAGGACTTGTCAGAGGATTAAGATTATCAATAGAGTAATGCCTGAGAAAAAATCTTTTTTGGAAGGAGAATGCCAGGGGTGAGGGATCCAGCATTATTCACTTCAGACACCAGAACCCTCCTGGCATGCTACGGCCATAGCGAGGGCATCCAGACCGCTAGGTGTCCTACCAGCAACAGGGCGGTTGAGAATGGGCAAGTTGCGGCCGCCCAACTCCCAAGATCCACTGTTAACACTGGGTGAGGTCAGTGGGGGGGTGGGAAGGGGATAGGGATCAGCGTCGCGTCGGCTTCTGGACGAGGATGTGCGGCTCGCGGAAGGGCGCCCGGATGTAGAGTTACGACGAGCGTCAGCTAGGGATGTCCTGTGACTGCGCTGGCTAGTAGAAGAGCGACTCTTATCCTTGAAGTGGGTTTCGAGATGTTGCTTCATGTTGTCGGCGCGAGTGAACTTCTTCTGGCATCCCGCAAAAGTACATTGAACAGCCTTCTCTGCAGTGTGAATCTTTGAATGGCGCGAGGCATGACCTGAGGTGGTGAAGGTCTTTTCGCAGCCATGAGTGTCGCGGTACCTGCAGGGATACCTCTTTCCGGGGCGCTCGGGCATAGGCGAGGATCGGGGCTGGCTGACCATCTCAGCGTCGTAGGAAGCTGAACGGGTGCTATCGGCGTATTGGGCATGCTTCGCCTCCATGTTGTAGTCTTGAGGAATTGTGTACATGACCTGTTGTCGAGGGTAGTAGTCGACATTGGGAGTCAGAGGAGAAAGAGGATCGTTGCTCATTTGAGAGTCATAAGAGTCGGAACGAAGAAGTTCGGGAGTGTTTGGCGAAGAAGAACTGCTGCCCGGGGTGGGGTATGATTGAGTGAAGGCATAGCTGGAGTGAGAGTGGAAGCTGAGCGGTGGTCGTTGCGTTGGCTGCTGCTGCTGTTGTTGTTGTTGTTGTTGGGAAGCAGTTTCGTCGTTAAGGAGTGAAACCCGTCGACCAGCGGCGTTAATTGCGTGCATTGTCATTGCGGCAGTAATTGTGAGCTGCTCTTGATAATGTTGGCAGTTGCAGTAAAATCAGTAGAACACAGCTACTGATCAGATCAGACTGAGTGACTCAATGCGCCTGGGTATGGTTGCAGCTCCGAGGGAAGCGAGGCGGAACCAAATAGCGGGATGGCTAGTCGCGGAGCCTGTCTGGACTCGAGGGGACCGAACGAAGGGATTGATAGCTCAAAATCGCCTCCGCTTTTTAGAACACGAGACTGGTGGGTTTCTCGTGGTCTGTTGCGTGCGTGTTCCTGAAAAAAGACAGGGGTCCGGTAGTGGTAACGAAGGGAGCAAGGAGCTGATGATGGCGGTGTCAATTCTGCAGTCTTGGTAGTAAGGAAGCAGAGTAGTTGGACGTTTGGTATCAAGTTCATGTATTGCACAGAAGAAAGGAAAGATCTGGCACAAGTGCGGTGATTGTTGTTGTTTAGATAATGGAGGTTGCCGAGGAATCCAGTAGACAAGCCAGAGCCAGAGCCAAGGAGCAACGATAAAACAGGCGGAAAGGGTAACTGGATACACAGCACAAGAACGGATATAACAAGCTAGTATCCGTTGATGATCAGCCCGAGGTGAAAGCAACTCTGTAAGATGAGAGAGTATCGTAGTAAGTAAATAAAAGTATGAAGAGTGAAGAACACCAAACAAAGCGAGGCTGGAAATGATGGATGGCTGGAGCTTAAGTTTATAAGTAACCCGTTGGATTTGCAAGGAGGAAAACAAGGGGAGTGAGAGTACGTACATGACGGAGCGAAACAGAGCACACGCCTCTTGGTTGGGGGGGTAGTATCACGGGCAGTAAGAGCAAAGAAGGGAAAAGAAGGGATAGAATTGGGGTGGGAATCAAGCATGGGATTTTTTGCGCAACCCCATCGATCGATGAGATCGAGAAAAATGTCGAGTCTGAATTGAGAGTTACGATGAATGGACGTAACTTGGGTAGGTTGGCCTGGATGAGCCACACCCTAGAGCATGGGGTCCACCAGCATCAGGCAGTGGTGTGCCTTTATCTCCTTTTTCTCCTCTTCTCTCCCCTTCTGTTCAGAGTGTCAAGAGTGTTCAACTTGGATGGAGAAGAGGGGGGGTGTGAGGAGCATTGTGGCACTGGCCTCCAAAAACGAACCCTGGGTTGGCATAGGAAACTCTCCAAACAGGCACCTGCCCTGAGAGTCATCAGCAAGCTCCCGCTCCCCCTCACCATATGTCCCAAGGTAGGCCAGCCAGGGCTCGGCGGCCAGGCTGGTGCAACCGCTGAGACGGTTTTGGCCGGAACTTACTGGAGAACAGTGGAGGTGGTAGTGGTAGTGGAAGTGGTAGCCCCCACTAGCCACCTCGGAGTGATGAAAAAATAAAAGCACCTCATGGACCGGATTAAGAATATGGTGGGTTATGCCTTGATGTTCCCCAGCTACGCAGCCGACTTGACATTTCTGAGCATGTACGTAATGTATCCAGGACAGAAGGAACTGCATCGGGCATCTCCAGATTCCTTTCTCTGTTCGCTTCTTCTTTATCAAAGAAGAAACTCCATTATGGTGGTTTCTTCTATTTGCTGCGGCGCGATTTCGCGCTCTTGTTTTTGTCTCTTCCTTGGTAGGTGGGACACAGGCTGGTGTGTGGTGGCTTGCCAGGGACGAAGGGGCCTTTAATGGCCTCCAGCTGCAACCACCGAGCTCTTGCCAGGGTTGATGAAGGATAACCGCCAAGGAACAGCAGGGTGTGAGGCGGCCAAGGGCTTGCTTTTGACCTTCTTTTAGCGCAAGCCATCTCTAGAGCCCTTTTGCTGGGAACACTATCCCCCAAATGGCTCTCCCTCAGAGAAGCAACTGTAGTCCTTCACCTCACCTCCAGCTTCCATGTAATGTCGATCATTCGCGACCATCTTCCTCAGACTAATTACAGCAAACGCATGGATGCCGAATCTTGTTGAACTTCACCTCGCTTTGCTTTCGGCTCAGTTTTGCTGCAGGCAACGACTTCCTTACAGGGCTTTCCACCCTCCTATCCCGTTGCTACCACATAACACGCCCTGCCTTAATTGACACTGGACTCACCCGGCGCCCACTCGGTCGGATGCTGCGCCAGGAAACATTTCCTAATCACAACGCACAACCCAATACCTCTAAACTCAAAGATCCGTATCAGGGCCGTTTATTCTTTGATTTTGCACTCGGTCGAGAAACCTTCACTCGACCGCATTGAGCTGGCCGCGGCGCGACACGCTCATGTTACAACACGTTAGTAGTGTTGACCACGGTACCATATCTGCGCACCAAGTGCGGCCCTGCTGATGAGTTGACGACTACTGCACCTACTGCACCTATCCTACGGAACGGTACTCCGGGACTTGGACCCTGATTTCCTAATTGTAATCTCGATCCCTAGGCTTGGGGCGTCACCATGACGGATAGCCGGATCAGACGAGCTAGTGAGAGAGTACCTGGGACCCCGAGACGTCGTACATCTTCTAATCGCACCATGGTGACGTCAACTCCATAACGGCATGCCATTAGCAACAGGTCCAGACTGTCAGAGGGACGCTACAACAATCGCTGAATCTCTGGCCAACTGAGCGACTCCAGCTCCAGGTAGCGGCAACCCTTGGTCATTATCAGAGCTATAGTTAACAGTTACACAAAAGCAAAACGGACCCAAGCACAGTACACATTGTATGACAGACACTTTCCCATACAGCTCATGCAGGGCTTAATCCTGTCACTTTCAGGAAACTGTCTGTACTCTATTGGTCGGACCCTGCAAATCCCCTGCCACCCAGGGGCTCGCATGCCCAAGTTCAACCCAAAAAATATGTTCAAAAGAAAACAGAGACACAGGCATCGTGTATTGTGAACTTGCACTTGAAAAGCCAGTCAGCTCTAGGTAAACTAAACAACCTACCTATACAATACAATATATGGTGCTTCATGGAGCGATTGGCTTTCGGTTAACTTTTCCCCGCTCTTCACCCATACTCGCCTCTCTTCAACACCAACGTGCTTATCAACGACATTCCGAAGGAGGGGGCAAGCAAGGGGAGGCAAGAAAACTCAGAACCCTTATGCTACGTGATAAAAATAACTGATCTAAAGGCCTCCCAAGTTCACATTAAGTTTGGTTGAATATTTTTATCACTTTCCCAAGCTTTCTTGCTCCCTGAGAGGCTCATGCAAGGCATTGAGCGAAGAGAGGCGTCATGGTGACAGCGTCTGGCTGATGAGATTAAAGTACAGGCCCTCTAGCAACCGTAAAAAAAAATAAAACTGCGGCTTCGCTCGTGGTTGACCCACTAATAAGACATCTGCTCCATTTGCTGCCCGCAACCAGCAACGGGCTTTGGGGTGAGACGAGGGCGGGCCAGAGTGGATCATGCCGGGGCACGTTCCCCAGAGCTAGAGTGGCTAGCTAGGGCTAGTAAGGCACAAACACCCCTAGATGCTACGCTGCCTGAGTTGCTTTCAGCACCTCAGCGTGTCTGGTCAGCTTCGCAAGCAGGTAGAAGTGGAGGCGGCGGGGGGCGGACGACAATCCCCTTGACGCTAACGCTTCCAGGGTCGTCCCCAAGGGTCCCCATCAGAACTGGGGATAGAAACTCCATCGACCAATAATCGGAAAAGATCGAGAAAATGGCGATCAAGGGAGTTCTACTGTGGGTTCAGGGTGGGGACCGATCCAATGCCAACATTTTTACTGCTTATGGCCTGCGCCAGCCGCAACAGCAGCAACAGCAGCAACGTCTGGATAGATTCGGCCAATTAACCCATGACAAGTGCCAGAGGGCACAAAAACTTCTTACAGCAATGGAAGCAAACTGAACCCGTTCTTCGTTGCCATGGCTTTGCAGGTGTACACTGCTCGAGATTAACCCGAATATGTAGCTTTGGTTTTGGAAGCCACATGGCAAACAACAGCATCATTACGGTCCATTTGATAATCTCGTGCTCTGTAACTTGACCATCAGAATGGCGTGCCGAGGAGTGAATTCTCTCGTCAAACATCGTCTTGTTGTTTCTTGGCCAATCAACCTTGTGCGGATGCCCTCCATTAGTCACCGTGGGAACTCTATCTTGTCGTTTCTCTTCCCACAGCGCCCCCATCAACAGTGCCTGCGATTTGTTTGTTTGGGCGCGGACCCAATCCCGGGCGCCGAAGGGTGTCACAAATGGAGTTGACGAACCCTGTTGAAGACTCGACTTCCACTCAGCTCAGGTGGTTTCCCCATCTCGGCAACATGGGGTTGTTGAAGGAGCCATTGCAACCAATGACACCCGGCGACACTTCCTGATAACCTGATGAATGAGGAGGTTTCCCATATGATCCGTTGAAGCTGACTGGCTCAGTTCTGACTGATTGACCCTGGCCTCTGACTCCTTACACCCCTCTCGAATCGCCAGATTGACTTCCACTTTGCAGCTGCGTATGCCAGGGTTTTCTTGACACGAAGGACGAACTTTATGTTCCTTGGTCCAATACGAGTAGGGTATTCCTCCATTTCATCAGCACAACCTCGATCTGAAAACCAATCTCTGCAACCTTCCGGTCGTTTTGCTCCGGAATGCCAGTCATGTACATCGGGCGTGCTTTTTGAACCCTGAAGCCAGCATTCAGGGTCCCTCCACTATCAGTTGAGAGGCGGATGCGTTTACAAGCAGATAATTGTTTGCAGATTTACAGCACTTCCATCGCGCCCCATTGACGTCACAAATCCTAGCCGAGCTACCTTAGCTAAATGAATCCAGTGTCACTCGGCCTCTTCAGGGTGGAATAACTCGTATAGAGCTCATCAAAGTCGATGAAAACGATGAGATTGTTCGATCCGATACGTGATCTGGTCAATACGTTTCGCTACAGCGACGTTCATCTTTCCAGCTATGGATGACATGGACACCAAGCCTTGACAGGGCTTTAGGGATCTGTCTAGGATAATGAGCTATCGCTTGTAAATGACAGGCCCCATTTGTGCATGACATTTCTTCTCTTCAATTCTGATGACGCAACTGGTCGGACCAGGCTGAGAGATCTTGGTCCGAGCAACCGACGGGCACGATCTTGATGAACTGCTGGCGGAACATTTGCAACTGGAGTACCTTCAACATCCAAAACGGGCCACGGGATGGAGACAGACCTCGCTTTAGGTCGAACACTTAATTATCAAAAACCTCCGGGGAGTAGCTGGGCCGGAGGCATGCTCCGTTAAGCATTCAAGATTGCCGTTTCATACCAACCGGGGAACAATCTTGATTTCGGGCTGCAGGGCCACAACAGAGTTTCAAAGCCGGCCTAATGAAGCGGTCGGAGATCGAAGTGCTTCCAGAATACTGACTAGACTGGCTCGAATGGGAATGCACGGGCTGTACTCGATCACAAAAACCAGGAAGAATAAAAAGTACGCAGATGACCGCAGGGTCGACTGTGTCAGGCAAGTTCCTTGGTAACTGAGTAAAAAAAAGCAACAAGGGTCCTGTTTGACTGATCAGCGGGGCCAAAACGAGTGGCGGCAGCATGAAGCGCATCGGCTTCCACTGAGTGCGATCGAAGCATCGAAGGGGATCGGGTCAACGATGCTCAGTTGAGATCTTAAGTCAGGAGGGGGATCGGTCCCTTTTGACTTCTTAGGCGGTGCACTGCGTGGAGTGCGCGTGGTCGGACGCCCTGGCAGGCCAGCCTCATCGGTCCCGTCCGCGTGGCTCTCGAGGGTCCCGCCGCCTCAGCGACCGAGGGGGCTTGAGACCAGATATCAAGGGTTTTCAGGGAGTCAAGGAGACAGGGGGAGGGGCGTGAAGACATGGCGCCGGAGAAGAGGGCCCGTAGAGCACGAAGGGATCAATCTAACCTCAGGGACCCCGGCGATCATCCATCATCTTCTAATTCCCCAAGGACAAGGTTTATCTTGGGCAAGGCACGTCTCCCGGGCTCCAGAGAGAGGTCTAGTGAAGCACACATGGCGGGCAGGGACCAAGGAGCAAGGCATCATCAACAAACAGACTTAGTGTCGCTAAGATGACCTGGTGGAGGGAAGGTGGTTTAGGGGACCTCGACTATGACGCGCCGCTGAGCCATGATGCGATACCGTACCCTCTTTCGCTTCATCACTCGGGACGCCCAAGACCACATCGACCAATGATGTAACCAGGTCGACGACACCCTCGTTCCTTCAGGGTAGATTGTCAGGCACAAGCGGCAACCAGCTGGACGCCAAACCAGTCAGCCGGAGCCAAGCAGTTGTCCCAGGCTCCCACCAGCCAGTGGGAGCGAGTCCGGCCACGACGGGGATTTGCTTGGTCGTGGGCGATCCTCGTCGTCTACGAACCCAAGGTAAGGTAGTGCCGAAATCTCTCAGGTATCATTTTATTCTTCAATCTTCTCTGGGTCATGCAAGTGCGTGCCAGGCTATCACCGCCTTTCTTTTTGTATGGCATCAACTTCGATATGTTTCCACCACTTACATGCCAATCCACACAAGGCTACATTCTCCTTGATGGGCCTTTACTATGTTGTGTTGTTTTGTCTTGGCAACTTGGTGGTTCTTATCATCTATAGGTCGAAGAATTTATAGCTATGCAAATTCGTTCACGATAGTAGAGTTTACCGATCCTTGTATTTTCTCCGCTTCGTATTGCTTTGATGGTGACATGGTGACATGGTGATATGATGGTGTATTTTTTTTCGTATGATGTTTACATATACATGAGCTACTCAGGAAGCAATAGAATAACATGTCACCAAAGGCGTCATAATATCTTCCCGCACGAAATCTCAATGTCAACCGCGCAATGCAACTATATCCGTTCGGTAATCCTCTTCTCGGCTAACCTAACCCACAACATCGCATGCGTTAACTATCCTTTCCAGGATAGACAACCCCAGACAACCTGGTGCTCTCTACCGCCCCCGCCATCCTTTCTGATGTGTATGGTGGCATCGCCTTTTCATCCTGACAAAGTCCAGGCTGTTGTATATCAACATTCTTTGCGTCACCATGCCACCATGGATCCCTTGGAAACAAGGAAAGGGGTACTCGATCAATCAGGCCCGGCATTGAGGGTGCGCCATGCCAACTTTGCTCGTCTGTTCCAATACATGGCATTGTAACAGCTGGAGGAGCAATGTGTCGTAAAGAGTACTGAGACAAAATTCTCATATCTCGATACCCTGAAACAGATGTTTCTGGCGGTGTGCCGGTATCCTTGTCAAGACAAGAACAGGGCCATCAGCTACTACTGTACTGTTACCCTGTAACTGTGGCTGTGACTGACGAGTCCGTCCTTGATAGGCAACTTGGAACTTGGTTTAACCTCAGCCTGAAGAGCAAAAAACGGCCGCGCCATGTCAACGTACGTCCGGAATCTAGGAACACGACCCTGGTGTAACTGCGAAAGGAATATGCACAGCACAAAGGGCCTCTCATGATGCGACGTAGAATCCTCTCAGTGAGAGAAAGGACCAATATGCTACGACCATGTTTCCCGTTTGACAGGTCACGTTGATGGTGAATTTTGCTGATCACTGTCGATCGATCGAGATTTGTGATTTATGTTTTTCCTTGGTCAGCCCGTTTTTGGATTAAACACCCTGGTGCCTGTGTCAACTACTGGACTGCACGGAGTACTGTACGGCAAACTTGAATCTACCAACGACTTTGCCTTAGTTTCGAGCCTTGTCCAAGCCGGTTTCTCAACATTACGGTCTCGTGTTCAATCACATTCCGGACCAAGGACAGCATGTTGTAACCAGCCAGAGCCATTCGAAACTACCAGAGATAGAGAGCTAATTACTTTCCCATGCTACTCCGCTCCTGGGACTCGTAGATCCCCCCCCTGAAACGCCGTTTTCGCCAAACACCTGCCCGAATGAAATATCCGTCTGTTTCTTACCGTGCACTCTTCAACTATTCCTCGCTGATCGTCGTAGTTGGTAGCAATGCTGCGCGCGGGGTCGCTGCAGGACCGGTTCCCCGAACCGCAAGCCGTTGTAATACATGATCATCATGATCACCATCGGCGATGATCATGATGATGCAAATGTCCGCTTTCCCATGACAGCGCTGAACTTTCCCATGACAATCAAGCCACGTAGTGTCCCCTAAAGCACCAAGTTAACCTGTGGTGTAGGAATGATACTGAGGCCATAATTATTTTGATGCTGAGGCACTCGTTTTGGTTGACCCTGTATCGACACGTTTGGCTGCCGGGAGCTCTGGCACCTTGAAAACGCTTCCACTTGACGACCCCCCGACCTGTGTGAAGCTGCCACCCTTGAACCAGCGGTCCTCCTCGGCTTTGCGCTTCTTGCTGAGCTCTGCCTGCATCTTGGGGTCAACAAGCTCCAGACCTTGGACGGGTGTGAATGACAAAGACGATGCTGTGCCGGTTGCTGAACCGATGGTGCTGCCAACTCCCGAGGCTCGTAAGCCGCGTCCTCGTAGATCAATGTTAGATGCTTGGCCAAAGCCACCGATAGACGACGCAGCACCACCCACGGTGCTGTTTCCGCCCCAGCCCTTGTTTTTGGCACTGAGCTTTGCGCGTGTGCGCTGGTCGATCTGGGTACTGCGAATGCGGCCGTCGTTGGACTGACCAATCATTCCCATACCAACAGTTGACTCGCCAGTGCCATATCCAACCTCCCTCTCCTCCTTGCCAAATGCCATGCGGTTTTGTTGCTTGCGAAGATCAGTCATAGCGAGAGCCTCCTTAGCCTTGCGAGCGCGTCGTCCACCTCGCTTGCGGGATGGCTTGTCGTCTGGCACAGGGAGCGCACGCTGTCCTTTGTTGGGAGGTGGCTCTGTCAGTTTCTCAAGGCGTTCAAGACAAGCTGATTTGAGCTCCTCTCCTGTGGATCCGTCAGGACTGGAGTGTGTGCGATCAACCCGGGCAGCCAGAACTAGCTTGGCTGACACGATTCTCAAGGCTTGCTTCTTCAAGTCGCTGGGAATGCCTCGGATCATCTCCGAGTTGTAAAGGTAGCCCTGCTGCCGAACACCTATATTCGTAGCAAGCCCCGAGTGCTTCTTCTTGGATCCCCAAGAGGCGATGTTGCAAGCAGGCGTCTTGGAGAGACCTGTCAGTCCGCCTGCCGCGTTGAGGAGTTGGGCGGCCGTGAGAGAACCAACAAGGGCTGTCAGGTTTGGCGCAAAAATGTTCATGCGCGACTGCACGTACTCGGCGAGAGTCTGCTTGGCCTTGTTGAGGGCAATAACCATATCGCATGCCTTGTAGACGCGCTGAAGCTCTTCGGGTGTCATCTCGTGGCCCTTTGACGTGGTGGCCTCCACCGTCACTATCATGAGTGACGGCCCATCAAGGACGGACTTGAGGGTTATTCCAAGCGGGTTGTCAGTCGAAGTCTGCAGGGCCTTGATACTCTCCGAATCCAACGGGCCATTTCCGATGATGGCAACGACCTTGGCATATTCGAGCGGCGTCGTGACAAGTCGCTCGAGCTCAGGAAACCTTGTCGAGTAGTGGTCGCGAATGAACTTATGAACGAGTACAACCTCGCCATCGATCTGGGTTGAAAGACTGTTGGACTGCGTCAGAAGATGATACTCGGGATGATCTTCGATGTTTCCGACGTTGGTATTCTGGGTCGCGGCTTGCGATCGGTAATGTGCGATTCTCTGTAGCGTCCGAGGCAATACGTCAGGGCTATCCGTCAAAAGAACTGATGTAAACGAATCGTCCATCAAGATGCGACCGTTGATGCGGCTCGGGTTGAAGGGGGCAGTACTAACCTCGAGAACTGGTTCAAGCGTTTGCATAAGGCTGGCAACGCTTCTCACATCCTTTACTCCTCCAAGCTGCATCTTCTCGACCTTTACTTTTGTTGCTTCGGAGTCTTCTCTGTCGTTCAATCCATCATCCGAATCTTCGTCGTCCCTCGTCTCAGCGTCGCCATCCAGCTCCATGGCGTCACGGTTGCCGGTTGCCTCTTCATCCTTGATGAGGCCATCATTCAGCTCTTCTTCGGCCTCATCGCCTGAGCTTCCAAAATCGTTGAGGAGATCGTCTGCGACAGTCGACATAGTGGCGTCGTGTATAGGAAGGATGGTATGAATGAGTAAAGGTGATTGTCGCGAAATAGTTTGTGGAGTAGGTAATTTGTCTTGACTATAAATACTTCCGCTTCTAGGCTGCGAGGCTACTGAGCGCCACATAAATAAAGTGGAACTCTCTGTCACATTGAATCATAATTGGTTGGCTGCCCACACACTTTTGCGCCTTGCTCTGTCGCGTCGCTGTTGACTCTCAACTCTATTTCATCACCTTGACTCTCCTTTTCATCTAAATTTTGCTTCACACCAAGAATAATCGCCATCATCAACTTGAGCCCTCGAAAGTTGGCGATCGTACGATGGAGTCGTCCAGAGGGCCACCGAGGGTGAAGAACAAGGCCGCCGCGCCTGTTCAAATCAGTGCCGAACAGCTTTTAAGAGAAGCTGTCGACCGTCAAGAAGTTGGAGTGCAGGCCCCCACTCAACGATTTGCTGATTTGGAAGAACTTCACGAGTTTCAAGGACGGAAGAGAAAAGAGTTCGAGGACTATGTGCGACGCAATCGACTCAACCTCAACAACTGGTTGCGATATGCTCAGTGGGAGTTGGAGCAGAAGGAATTTGCCCGCGCCCGGTCCGTCTTTGAGCGCGCACTCGACGCACATCCCAACAATGTTCAGCTATGGATTCGGTATATCGAGTCGGAGATGAAGGCGAGGAACATCAACCACGCGCGAAACCTCCTGGATCGTGCCGTCGCTCGCTTACCGCGCGTTGACAAGCTCTGGTACAAATATGTCTACATGGAGGAGATGCTGGGCAATATTCCTGGAACGCGGCAAGTATTTGATCGATGGATGCAATGGCAGCCAGACGAGGCAGCATGGAGCTCGTACATAAAGCTTGAGAAGCGGTACGGCGAATTCGAGCGAGCAAGAGAAATCTTTCGGACCTTTACCATGATTCACCCTGAACCCCGGAATTGGATCAAGTGGGCCAAGTTTGAGGAGGAGTTCGGTACTAGCGACCAAGTGCGGGAAGTCTTTGGGGAGGCCGTGGAGGCATTGGGAGATGACTTCGTCGATGAGAAATTGTTTATCGCCTATGCTCGTTTCGAAGCTAAGCTAAAAGAGTATGAGCGTGCTCGTGCGATATACAAGTATGCCCTGGACCGACTACCAAGATCGAGGTCAATGATTTTACACAAGGCATACACAACATTCGAGAAACAATTTGGCGATAAGGACGGAGTGGAAGATGTTGTGCTGTCCAAGAGGAGAGTATATTACGAGGAGCTTATCAAAGAGAACCCGAAGAACTACGACGCCTGGTTCGACTACGCAAAGCTCGAAGAGACTTCACAGGACTCTGACAGAATTCGAGATATATACGAGAGGGCTGTTGCTCAGGTTCCACCGACACTGGAGAAGCGGCACTGGAGGCGATACATCTATCTCTGGATCTTCTACGCCATATGGGAAGAGATGGAGGGACAGGATGTTGAGCGGACACGGCAGATTTACAACACCTGCTTGGGTCTGATCCCACACAAGAGGTTCACGTTTGCCAAAATCTGGCTCATGGCGGCGCATTTCGAGATCAGACAGGGTGAACTTACCGCAGCGCGAAAACTCCTTGGACGCGCGATTGGCATGTGCCCAAAGGACAAAATCTTTAACGGTTACGTTGACCTTGAACGCAAACTATTCGAGTTCGTGCGGTGTCGCACTCTGTATGAGAAGCACATCGAATACAACCCGGCAAATTGTCAGACATGGATCAAGTTTGCTGAGCTTGAGCGCGGTCTGGATGATCTGGACCGCACACGCGCCATCTTTGAGCTTGCTGTCCAGCAACAACAGCTCGACATGCCCGAGCTTCTATGGAAGGCGTACATTGATTTCGAGGAGGAGGAAGGTGAATACGAGCGCACGCGAGATCTTTACGAGCGCCTACTTGAAAAGACGGACCACGTCAAGGTCTGGATCAGTTACGCGCACTTTGAGATCAACATTCCCGAAGATGAAGAGGAGGAGGGTGATGAGGAACAGCCAGTCAGCGAAGAGGCCAAGGAGCGAGCACGCAAAGTATTCAAGCGAGCGCACAGGAGTATGCGAGACCGAGATCTCAAGGAAGAGTGCGTTTCGCTACTCAACGCCTGGTTATCATTCGAGCGCACACACGGCTCAGCGGAGGACGTGGAGGCTGTGCAGAAACAAATGCCACGCAAGACGAAGCGCCGGAGAAAGCTCGACGACGACTCGTGGGAGGAATACATCGACTATGTCTTCCCTGCCGATGACAAGCAGGCTGCCGACGTGTCCAATCTTCTGGCCATGGCACAGAGCTGGAAACAACAGGCGGGTGGAGGTCTTGGCGCATGAGGCTGAGCCTGAGTATGAGCATTCAGTCACTGCTACCAGGGTCAGGATACCACAGCTGGTCTACAGTGCTGTGTCCTATAGAGAGTAATGAGCATTTATCACGATATCAACTGAGGCGTCAGTTTTTGTATCCAATCGCGAGAATATGCACCACCACCACCACCACACAACACAGGACTCCATGGTGTGGGGGAGCAGAAGCCTCTTGTCCTTGCGTGAAAGCAATTAACTTTATCTCCTCTACTTCCACTTGGCTTGGGCTGCGTACCTTAAAACCACCTCGTGATCGAACAACCTCAGCTGTTTGGCCGAGCTGTCAATGAAGTGGATACTTGATAAGTGACGTCATGGCTTGATGACGTTTCGGAGCTGAGCCTCAGATTTATTAGAAACAAGAATCTACATACTAAGCAGGCCAGGGTATAAGCATCGTGGGGTTTATTGGAGTACCTACGGGATATCAAACGATGAGCGACAGGTACAGAACAGGGATTTGGAAGACTGTAGTGAGATCAAGGGAGAACAACCCGTTTTTACTTTTGAACCTAATTGTAGGAAGCCGTTGTCATTCACATCACCCAGTAAGAGCCAAATATTGTTTCATCAACACCAAAGACGTAACAGGTTTTATTATAAGCCAGAGTCGTTCATTATAGGTCATGATTCGTCAAGGTATTCTGGGGGCTGGTAAATCGACCCCCAAGAACCTCATCTGCTATCCAGCATAACAAGTTGTTCATCCAGATATCCAACATGGCAGAAGGAAAGAAAAAAAAGAAAAAAAGAACACATCGTGCCATCCACATACATCTTTTCGTGTGCCCATATCCCGTTAACTTTCAAGAGACACGTCTTGCCATCTTCACAGGCCAATTCCTGATTTCTTGTCGCACTTGGTCCAATCGCCGAGTCTTGATCTGCAAGCCCCCCGTCTTTCCAAAAAGCCGTTCTTCCCGAGGCCGTCTACCCGTGTTCCCACCACTTCATCATCGTGCATATAGTGATTTGTTATCACCACATGCGCGTCCCGATCCTTTCTTACCGCCCCTCTCTTCCCATCTCGTTGGGTCAACTCGTGCCACTCTCGCTTGCTTCCCCGTTTCCAGTCCTCTACTAGACCCTACCCCATTCATCAACTTTGGCAGAATAGAGCAGCTCATCGTTGGACAGATATGCACGTATGTGCCGGTGTGCCGGGATATGGTTTCGTTTTTGCTTCTGTGCCTGCAGGGATCGAGCCACTGGCTTAGTATCGGCGATGGTCTATTTTAATCATCGTCGTTAGTCTTCGTCTTGAATACACATGTGAAACAAACGTGGGAGAGGTTGCGGGGAGAAAGCAAATCTGCTTCATCTATCTGATGCAGAGGAATTTCAGCAAAATGAACGCCAGCCACACCACGCAGCGCAACAGGCCATATTCACACCGTTTCCTTCTCTTTCTAGTCTTCCCATTCCTCTCCTCAGGGTTTTCATTGCCATGTGTCCAAAGAAAAAGCACTGCCGTTTGATTGGCTCAAGCTTCTCATGAGCCAAATAAGTCGTCTCGTCATAAGTCATGATTTAAGATGTTTGGAGTTGTATAGGTGAGTAAGTGTGAATGCCGCCCAACACCCAGCCAGGCTCTTAGTGAGGAGATGGCAGACCGTTGGGATTCCTTCTGTAAGTGTCTGTACCATACGGCTCTGCTGGGAAGGTGTTGCCTCTGTAAGGTTTGCCTCCGTAGTCTTGCGGGTCAAAGTATTCATACTCGATATCCGAGTCATACCCATCCCGTCGAGACGAAGGAGCCCAACTGTCTGCTCTCCTCCTACCGTCACCCATTGACTGTTGCCGTAAGCGCCTTTGCACTCGCTTCTCATGACGACGAGCCTTCTCTTGTTGGAAATTTTTGCACTCATGTGTCAACTCTTTGGCTTCCTTCATCTCGGAAATGGCTCCCTTGATGCCCATAGCAGCGATACCGACTGATGCGGCGTCTTGCATGATTGCTTTGGTCTTGAGCTTTTTGGCTTCCATCTCACTCAACCGTCCTTCCTTGACTGCTTTGTGCCGTGCGTTTCTCTTTTCCATGCTAGAATATACCTCGTGCGCTGCGTGTATAGTGGCTACTGCCGCTAAACCTGTGGTGATAATTTGCTTACCTCTCATTTTCTTCGCCCGCTTCTCATCCTCATCAGAATCCCCTAGGTCTGATGACGAAGAGGAATAATCGGAACGCCCTCCTCGTCTTCGCTCTCGGGGCTTGCTCTTGTATGACCTATCATCATCGTAATAATCTCGATTGCTGCCATATCGACGGTCATCGTACATATCGTCCGAGTATCGGCGGGAACGGCTGCCACCGCGGTCGCTAAAGTCATCTTGGTCGCGACGGCGGTAGTCATCAGCGGCAGCAGCGCCAGCTCCAGCACCAGCTCCAAGGCCTAGTTTGGCCAAACCGTTGCGAGCTTTGTCAACAACACTACGGCTGCGACTTCGCTGACGGCGCCTGTCTGGAGATGGACTGTATGAGGCACTTCGTCCCCTACGGCTCCTGGATCGCGATCGAGAGCGATCCAGAACCTTCTTTGCACCCAGGGCACCCAGGCCAGCAGTCGCAAGAGCGGCAAGACCACTTGCGCCTCCGCTGCCACCACCCTGAGACTTGGAGCGGGCTCGCGAGCGTGAGCGGCTGCGGCCAGTCTTGCGATCCTCTTCGATATCATTTCTCGAACCACGAATTAGGCGGTTGCCGACTAAGCCACCAATCACAGACTCAGCCAGGCCCAGCTTTCCTCCCTTGTCATCAGTTGCGGTGTCGACAGCAGCAGCACCTGCAGCGGCGGTGAGAATACGCTTCGTCTTTTCACCCTTCCAGCCGCCAGGCTCCTTGGCAACACGAAAGGCCTCTGTGGCACCAGCAAGGAGGGAAGCCATGGCTGCCTTTTGAATTTTGTTGGCGCCGCTGCCACCAGCGTGAGAACGAGATCTTTCGCTGGAGGGACTACCTCCCCGGCGGCTCCTGGTATCGTCTCCGCCGCCACCGGTGAGACTCTTGACAGCAGCACCGAGACCTGTAGCTGCGATAGCGCTCTCGAGAAAGTTCTTGTGTCCCTTCTTCTCCCTTGGACTTTCGTCCTCATCAGAGTAGTAATCACTATAATAACCGTCGCGGCCACGTTGAAGGATCATGTTAGCCTTTTGATCCTTCTTGGCCTGCTGCTTGTTGTAGAATTGTGCACCCTGGTAGGCAGCCAAGGCACCGACTCCGGCAAGAGCTGCAGTGGACAGAGGATTGCGTTGAATCTCAGTGCGCTCCTCCTTAGCTTCGCGGCGATCGTACAGTTCCTTACCACCCGCCAAAAGAGCGGCACCGGCGACGGCTGCAATGATCTTCTCATTCTTAGACATGCCCTTGGGTTTGTGCTTGCGCTCGCGCTCTTCATCTTCGTAGTAAGGGCTGGAGTGACCTCGATGGGAACGGCGGTCATAGTCGCGATCGCGAGGATCGTAGCCTCGGCGATACTCATATTCTTCCTCGTAGTAGTTTGGGCCGGCGGATCGGGCCCGGCGAATATCACGGGTACCAGGAGGGGGGAATTCTCGTCTGACCTCTTCTATCGATAGGTCGCTGTCCTCGCGACCGCGAGGAACGATCTCCCGATGAGTCTTTGAGTTAAAGGAATCTCGAGGGTCGAGATAACGGGGGTCTTCTCGACGCTCCTCTCGCACATAGCGGCGAGAGTAATCCCGATCGTACGGGTCGTAGTTTGACATGAGGATGTTGTGCGGTGTATGTCGCTGCTACGTTATGCAGTGGTGTAATAGTTGACGTTGGTTTATAGTTGAAAGTGGCTTTATAGTGATGATAAGCGATGTTGTTATAATACCAAGTTGACGGTTTCTGTCGATGTGAAGAGGAAAAGGACGAGGATGTGGCGGGAGGGACAAGTCAAAGAAAAGCAGCAAGAGGAACCCAGCCACAACCCAGCCAAGCAAAAACAGGGTCCTTTGATGCTGCAACAAGGGGGAAGTATGGAGGTATGGAGGTATAGGTAGCTACGCAGTACCTAGGATTGATGAAGTGGGTTATTGTGAGTCTTGTCGACAGGTGTAGAGTGTTAATAGTGGGCAGCACTGAACCTGTTTGACGTTGGTTGAGTGGATGGGACGGGATGGGATGGGCATCAATAGGACACGGAAGGCAGCAACAGAAACCATGCCTTCCCTGCTGACTTGCGATGGACCTTTGACGAGATTCAGAGACAGTTATGGTTAGACTATGCCGTTCAGTAGCTTAGGCTTCGTGTTAAGTTTTACCATAATGATAAGGCTGTTCTGCTTAACAAGACTCTCCTCGTAGCTTTCAACCGCACAAGCGGGGCGAAACAAACGACGTAATGAGGAGGGGTATACCTCAAGTTGGACGCACAACGCTGACGCTATTCGACAGGGGTCACGGCCTTGTAAGGCCCACTAGAAGCTCTTGGGCGCGCTGGGCGCTGGGGCAGCGGCACTTGATACCCAGCTGGGCACCAGCTGGGCGTCCACAGCACAGCCTGGCTTCGTTCCTAGGTTCGTCTTGCGCCACAATTATCATGCAATCATTTCCACTTTGCAACGTCTCAAACGCCCGGCAACACCGAGGACGAGACAACGTATATTCGATTGAAACAACAGCTCCGGAGATAAAATCGAAGCCGGCTCTTCTCCGCTCCTTTGCGGAAGTCAATATTAGCGTTTGACCAGGTCGATGGGCGCGCCCCGTGTCTCCATCCCTGGATCAAGCTTGTCGATTCGACGGAACCCCCCGTAGGCATTGTTCAGAGTGAGGCTCTCTGCCAAACACTCCGACCTTGGTAATTGGCTCTCAAAACTAGGGTATATCGTCCCCAGATCTCACTTCAAGCAGCAAAGATCGTCTCAATCTTTGTAAAGTGAGGCTCAGAAGTCGTTCCTCGAAGGGATACCCTAGGTTCGTGCTACCTCGGAAACCTGCATATTCGATGCGGTGCTTGTCCTCGAACCCATTTCGCCACTTTGATGAGTTGTTCTTTTCTAGAAACTCTTGTCACCTTGTGAAACTTGGGCTAAAATCAACGGCTGAGCGTAAGACAAGCCGGGTGGGAGTCTAGACCAGCCAATCGCCGCTTTTCTTTCAGCCCGTCCCGTGTCTCTGTTTAACTTTGACTTTTGACTTGACATGACACTTGAGACACACAACATGTGACGCAACAGACGATACCAGGATGCCTGCTGATGAGAGTTCATGACCAGCTTAGCCGTGTCCTTATTGCATCAGCCACAACACATCAACTGCCAATGATGCCTGTATGTATCAGATTTATCAAAGTCCATCACCAGGTCCAGATTTCGTTGGTTGTCAAGGGTGCCCACTGTTGAAGAAACCTGTCTGTTACGAATGACGTCCTTATTACTGTATATGGACCGTGTTGGGCCCTGTAAACTCGACCCGATAGGCCAGGCCGTTTGAACACCACGCTTTTTGCAATTCAGCCTTATCGGCCACTGCAGATGGCTCGGCATTTGGTTAATAATATCAGATTGACCTGGCTGTGTTTCATATGTCTGTTTATGTTACCACCGAGGTAGTGACAGCTCACACTGGTAGTCAACGCACGAGCTCCTTTCCTGTCATTTTTTGAGACACTGGATCACATTCGGGTTCAGTGACCAAGGTAAAATATGGCAAATTGATGTTAAAGCGCGAGATCTTAAGTAAATCATATAACCGATTCCGTATCAATACCCTCAACGATGAACAAAGTTAAGTCTAAAACTTATAATCTTACATGGATCAGAACCAAACCATTACACCCTTCTGTGATGGACCCAAAACTCCTGATGGTTGAAAGAAAACCCCGTTACCATGCCACTTTTTGTATCTCCATTTCAGACTATTCGTAACACACAAATTCCGCCGGTCAAAGTGCCGTTAAAAATTTCTCCTTCTCATACATCCTCGGAACGCTTGCTCTGTGCTGGCTCATCCATATCACCTGCGTGCTGAGTCTCTTCAGCTTGAACACCATAGTCAGTAGGATCGGCTTCCTCGTCCATCTTCTCCATTTGATCAGGCTCGACAAGTGCATACTTGCTCTTTCTCCGGATACGAGCACCGTACCAGAAGAAGACAAACGGGATCAATGCCAGAAGAGTCGCAACTCCGCCGATGAGAGAACCTCCACCACCTACACCAAGAGAGGTGAACATCTGGGTCGTAAACAGAGGAGCGGCAGCACTGCCAGCCGATCGAGCAACTGTGTTGGCAGCGATGACGGAAGCTGCGTATTGGGCGTATGTGTCGGTAAGGTAGTTGATTATGGCAACGTAGACGAGCATTAGAGCGGCAGAGAGGAAAGTGCCCGCAAGAGTCGGGACGATCCAAGGGACAGCACTGTTATGTGTTGGTTACTGTTGCCTGTGTAGAGACATGGAAAGTTGAAGACTCACTTGTAATTAGCAGACCATGCGAGCCAGAACATGGTGATTGGGAACGCAACACCTCCAAACATAGCCATGAGAAGCCGATCCTCGGGCAGTAGCGTCTTGCCAGCCGCATCCTTGCTTCGCCTTCGCTCACTGTCAACGAAGATAACGATGGCTCCAAGAACGGCCCCAACGACCTGGCCGAGGAGAGGGAGTTGCGAAACGCCAGCATTCCAGCCCCTCATGTCTCTGAATACAATAGGGTAGATGCTGAAGAGCATGAACTGAAGAGTGAATACTATGCAAGTGTAGATAGAGCAGAGGAGAGAGATCAAGTCGAACATGAGGATCCAAGGTCGCGTGAGGGCCAGCTTATAGACATGGGCGAGTGAAGGTTTATCTTCTTCTCCCTCCATTATGGCCTTTTCATAGCCAGCAATTCCAGATTTCCGGGCACGCTCAGCCTTTTTCGCCAGAATAGTCGGCGCATGCGTCTCGGGGATCAAGAACATAAGAAGTACCGTCAAAGCTCCGAGCCATAGGACGGAGTACATGCCCCATCGCCAGTTCTTCTTGAGCTGAACAAAACCGGACACCACCGGCCCGAGTGATGGGCCAACCCAGGAAGCCAAGCTGAAGATTCCCGTGGCGTTTCCTCGCTCAATAGGGTCCCAGAGGTCGACCAAAACGCCCGGGGTGGTGCTTAGCGGCGCAGAGATAAAGACACCAGCCAAGAATCGTCCAACTAGTAGTGATCCAAAGTTTGTAGGGAAAGCGCAGAGAAAGCTAAAGGCCATATAGGCAAGAAAAGTGATGTAAAAGATCCACCGACGACCATAAAACTCAGAAAGAGGCGCAAAGACAAAGGGCCCTGCGCAGAAGCCGAGCAAGAACATTGTAGTGGTCAAGCTCGCAGCAACCTCTGATACTCCAAACTCTTCCATAACAGAGTCGATGCTGCCAGAAAATATGCTTGATGCAAAGTTTCCGTTCATTGCGAGAACTACTGCGATACAGGTAATAGCCCATCTTCGCTTGAGGGACCAGTTCCGCGGGTTCTCGAGATCGTCGGGCGAGAAGTCGACATAGCCTTCTTCATTGAGATAAGGAGCTTCATGTTTGCCGGTGCCAATATCAGGCTTGAATGTCACGTAGGAGAGGGCTCTGCCCACTTGAGCGGTCATCTTGTGGCTTTGATGCTCTTGTAGGTGGTTGGAAAGTGATGAGGTGGGAGAACGTAGCTAAAGCGATATATGTCTGAGCTGGTAACAATAGAGAGCTTGGGCACATGCTTTATTTATATGTTCTCAAACCCTACGCCTTCTTCAAGCATCATGATGAGATATTTTGTTTTCTAACATCCATTTTTCATCCTCAAGGAGAAGAATCTCCACCACGGTGGCCTTGGTTGAGTTAAGTTGACGTCAAGTTCTCCAGATGAAGGTATACCGACCACAAGCACCAGACCAACCGGAGGTCAGCTCCGAATCTGATTTCAGACTCCGGGTCGCGGCTGATTTTCCCATCTCTATTTCCCTCCGGGCCGATATTGTATCAGAGCTGAATCTCGCCCCCCTCAGCCTTTTGATTTCCCCGGACCCACAAGTAGTATATATCAGGCTCGTGAAATGACTGTAACTCGACGAGCTTTGCAGTCGAGGAGAAGGGGAAAGTTTATGAACCACTCACAGTGGTCGTTTCAGGACCGTACAGCAGTCCAAAGATGATTTCCCTGGCCATGACAACGTGGGGAGGCTGAATATTTCCAACATGGCTGTCCAAGAAAGCATTGAACTTCAACCTTGTATGTAGATCACTTATTTACCTACTAAGTCAATATCCTAGGCTGGCCCCACGTGGAATATGTCACAGCATTCGGGTTCAATGACGAATCAGGCGGCTTATATCGAGATTCAGAGCAGAATTTGGAAGCTTTTCTGCATGAGGACGCATTTTGGTGGCCACAAGTGAAGATTCTTCAGGCATCACTTACACGAACAGGGGGAAGAAACTGTCTCATCGTACGTTTAGGTTGCTCACTGTCAATGCATTGGATGGTAATTTGTTTTCATTTTTTCCCCTCTCCCCTGATCAGCTGTGGTCGGAGATTTCATTCCGCGCATGGCAAAGTATCCATGGAAGTCTTCTTTGTTGCTTGTCAGTTAATGCAATGTCTTTGCCTTAGCTCAGTATCTAAAGTAAGGTACTTGCTTACACAATTTTCGCTTTCGATGTGCTGCATCCCCGCAAACTCATCCCGCAACAAGCTATAGGTAACTAAACAGCAAGACTTGCTGTCGCTGCCCCATTCGCCGCTAACGAAGCTGTCATGTTTAAATTTTCTAGCGACGCTTGACGTAATGCTGCTAGGCAATCTGCAGGTCTTGTTCAGCCATTTCCACTTTAGGTATTTTCTGGGGACCCAAGCTCCGGCTTTGACATTTCTGCAAGGCACCGCTGCCGTGTTGTTGATGCCCGGTTGATCCATCGGCCGGTTTGACCTGACGATAGCTTCATTCCTTTTCTCCAATCGCGATATTATGCGTCTCCCTCCGCTCGCCTTGGCCCTAACTCGCCCCAATCTCGGTCACCAGGCCGGGGTTCCATCATGCGGCTCATCCTTGAAAAGGTCTCGGTTTGTGAGATCTTCCCCAGACTTCACGATGGCCTCACCTCGCTGACAATGAATGGTAGTTTTGCTTCATCTCGATATCTTCCATGTAGTGCTTCAGGATACGGCAAGGAGATCAGCACACCATCATGACTCACCGGACCAGAATCTCCGTGTGGACAACGACAGGGACTCCCCATAGTGACAAGGCTCTGCTCCACCTTGTAGAATCATCATGCCAAGTCGATCATGCCCTGGTCCTAAACAGCATATGTCTTGTGACATACATCAGTCAACTATATAGATTCTTCATGTCCTTCGCTCGCGCCATCAGCTTCAGATGGATTCCCATTGCGAAGCATACGCCTGGCTTTATGTCCAAGCAAAGATCAACGTGGCAGAACAGAACACCGTCATTTCCAGGCCCAGCAGGATGTCATCTCGGCATGTGCCCCTGAACAATATCAGACCAGCTTGGCGAGGTAGTCAATCGTGGAATCTTAGAACAGCCGTTACCCGCAACACTTTTCGATGTATCTTCTCATGATCCGATAATCCTCAATCGGGACGCCCAGACCTCATACTTCATCACATGCAAATCATAAGACACGATACAGGTAATAATATTTGATGATGTCTTCTGGTGGGAGCTAGATTGAAATGTGATTATTACCGATCTTTGATATCATATCCTCCTCATGACAAAAGTGCCCAATATGAGCCATGTGCAAATTAGCTACCCTAAAGTTTAATAGATAACCCCTCAACCCCGCCAACATGATGAACTATCTTGTCATGACAACCAATACGTTCCTTGTGAATGAATGAAAGGACAAGGACAGAGAAAATGTCCCTGTTCATGCAGTCAGAACTCGCACACATTGCAATAAGCCATTGCGCTTCCTACAGCAGATAGTATTTTCCCGCTGCCCCAACCCTATTGTAAGCCCATGGAAGCTCGCCAATGACCTACCATGCATTAGCATTTGTGAGTATTACTGATATAGATCGTGATAACCATCCACCTACAACGGGCAGCAGTAGTACAACAGCATCCAGTAGATTTCAAGACAAGCAGAAGCCTGATGTTTCTCGACATGATTTTTTCTTTCTTGAATAATGAAACTATTGTACAACTTTTGAAACTAGAATAAAAAACTCCGTATTTTTAGCAAAGCTTGGAGAGTCCCCTCTAACATCAGAATCCATGAGTAAAATCAGAACCAAGTCCAAATCGAAATCATCCTTGAACCCCTTTCATATGCAGTCGAGAAAAAAAAAAAGATGCTGCAGTTCAGCTAAATGTCACCGTACGCCCATATGCTTTTCCACCCATGCCTTTTTCTTTCATCCGGTATGACGATAATCCTTTTAATATGCCGTCGTAATCGACCACCCCGTGAACATCCAGCGTAGCGGGTATAGCAATCATCCAGCGACACTTGCCGCTCGCCTCTGTGACCTGTCACTACAACTGCCCAGCACCAGCCGCACTCCCTCGCATGTAACGCTGAGGTTCTGGCGCACAACTTTCCAACTTGTAGCGTGCCTTCGCATTTCACAAAACCATCCTTGGAATACGCCCCAACAGAAACCAATACATCAGGCTGTTTAGCCAACCTTCATTCCGAATTTTCCTCTCCAATGGTTACTGGCTTTTCATTATAGCCTCGTACACCAGGGTATCGAATATCTGTAGCTCGTGTACGTCGTTCTCTTCCTTCGAGCAATTCTGATAGGAGGAGACCTTAGGTATAGACCTCTTGTCGCCCCATGGTGCACTTATAGCACTATAACGTACAACGCAAGTTACTATCAACAACTCGCCAACCACCCGTTTGCTGTCTGGCCCAGAACAGTGGAGTGCTATAGATGAACCATTGAGACATCCATACAGCCTGTTTCACTGAAGACCTATGAACAAGCGAGATCACAATCGTAACACGCTTTAGTTCATGGTGAATATGAAGCCAGCTCCGGGCCACAGCATGAAATTCGTAAACACTTATAAATCTGGGACACATCATTCGTATCGACCCAGACCGGGGAAGGAAAAAAAGAAACAACTCTCTCATATACGCCACTTTTCAAGCATGAAAATGACAGAGGCCTAACATCTCCGCCACAGCCAGTACTCCATTTCGGGGGGGGGCTACGATTGGGTTGTGTGAGCCTCCTCAATATGCACACCGTTGGTAAGCGGCGCAGTTTGTTCAGCATGACCATTGGTCAAAGCTTCAACGCTGGTGACTTGGACCTCACCCTGAGGGCCAACAAGGGGAATTGTCCCAGAAGGTGAGAAGTCGGGAACAGCCGCAGAAAGCTGGGTGTTGCCATTTGGAACAACCCCATTTGCGTCATGTGGTGCGAATTGTTGGAGAGCAGGGCCATGAGGATAAGCATGTGCACCATATGGCATAGCAGCGATGTCGTCAAATTGACCGCCAGGGAAATGGTAGTGTCTGTTCTTGAAAGTGACGCTCGCAGGGCCAGCATTGCGGGCCAGTTCATCTCGATTTTCCATAGAATAAACGAAATGCTCCCAATTGTGTCGCCGACGTAGTCGCTCACACTCATCGTCGCCAACCACGTAGTCGACTTCAGTCGAATCCTCACAAGCAGCACGGATGATGTTCATGTCCACAGTCAGCTGCTTGATGCGCGAGAACGCACTAATGAAGTGGAGAGGGACGAATCCCTGGGAATCCATGCGCTGTCGAAGGTATTCGTCTTTGCAAAGGTTCTCGATGGAGAAATAATATTCGATTTGAGTCTTGATCGTGAGTACGAGCAAGTTATCAAATGGAAGGGAGTGGAAAGGAACTGCACCAATAGGCGCTGCCATGGAGTAATCGTAAGGCGAATATTGAGCTTGCACAACAGGCATACGAGATCCGCCGTTCGGCACTGATACACGATGGAAGTTGTTAGCACCATTGCGACCACGGCCTCGCTGAGAAGGAGGCGTAAACATGCCACCATGACCACCCTGTCGCAAGGGGGGACTGTAACCCTGAGATCTGGCAGCGTTGGCGCCTTGGCCATGGAACCCGGATGCAGAAATAGCATGCTGAGATTGTGAATGGCCGTGATGGGCACCTCGTCCTCGATAATTGCCTCGACCTCTCTCACTGCGGTTATCATGCCGGTCTCGAGTTTGAGAAATCTCCTATTCCCAAAGCAATCAGTATACGTCTCACACAATAAATGCACTTGCGCAATCTCAAGATAGCTGTGCTCTACAGGGGCATCGTATTACTCACCGAAGACTGGGCAGGCGTATCTTTGGCCTTCTCAGAGCCAGTGCTGGCAGGAGTCTTTTTCTGGCCGTTAACACCATCCGCTGCCCCGCGTTTAACGGCTGCCAGTTGCGATGCGGCATTGTTGGTGTTGTCTTTGGGCTTAGTGTCGTTGGTCTTATTGGCAGGCGCGGTAGAAGCGGTTTTGTCCGCTACACCGTTGGCCGTGCCTCGAGGAGCGGCATCTCGGTTACCACGAGCACCACCCCGTGGCTTAGAGCTACGCATTTGAGGAAGCTGGGTTTCGAAGCTGACTGTGGGGACATAGTCCATAGCCACCCATTTCTGTCGGGGCTTTGACGCGCTGCCATCTTCTTGACTGTCCTTATCAGAGCGGTCTGACTTCTCGGGTGTCTTGTCTGCGACCTTCTTCTTGCTATCCTCCTTAATAGCCGTGATTGCAGTTTCAGGAGTTGGCCATGCTGTAGAATCCTCAACGGATGGAGGAACCTCGTTCTTGCCATCCTTCTCATGTATCCGCGACCCCCGGGGGCCATTGCGCTCCGACCGCACAGTACTGGCCGGCTTTTGCTGAGTCTTGATACCGTTCGTATATGGTGTTGTAGTAGATTCCTCAGTCTTCCTCTCATCCCTCTGAGATGAAGTGCCATTCACTGTAGCTTCCGCAGGTGTGGGAGCAGGTTTGACAGACTTGGCCTGCTGTGCCTCCTTTCGCTTATGCCAGATGTTGACGCTGGGGATAGGTGCTTCTGAGAGCTCGACCTTGGGGGCCTCAGGGGCCGCCTCCTGCTCCTTTTCTGTCGTCTGGTCACTGGGTTGCTTCTCAGAAGTCTTACCCTTCTTATTTCGCCTAGCCTTTCGGGAGTCCTGCTCGTCTACAGACCGGGCAGTAGTGCTTGATGACCCCGGTGTCTTCTCGTTCCGTCGCCACGGGCGCTCTAGCCTACCAGAATCATCTTCGCGCCTCGAGTCTGTTCGTCTGCTTTGTGTCGACTCGGAGCGGGTATCGCTCTCGGATCCGGGAACACTCTCGTGGCCTTGCTTTTCAGAGAAGGCAGCGCGGTGCTCCGTGGTCTCAGGAGCTTCAGAGTTGGCCTGCTCAGTGGCAGTAGCAGTCGACTTCACGTCGGTTGCAGGAGCCGGAACATCATCATCGGCAATGGAAGCTTGCGCGTCCTGGGAAGGAGCAGCAGCATCGGCGACAGCTGTAGGATTTGAAGCAGGGGTAGTGCCTTGACCCTTCGCAGCTTGTGCGTAGGAAAAAGTTGATTGAGCGGCCATTTCGTTGGACTCAACGATGGCTGATGGACTCATTTCAGGTTGAGCCTCGTAGGACAGGCTTGCCGTCTTAAACTGGTAGGAAATTCTGAGCTGAAGGTGCCGAAATCACCTTGGTCGCAGTAGAAGGGAAAATCAATGTATTGCTCAGGGATCGAAAACCCCAGGATGTCTCTCAACCCCTTCCACGCAAGGAGAGAGGCAAAGCACCTACGTGCGATACAGTGACTATCTGTGGACCTCTAAATAATGAGGGCGCGGGGATATAAGATTCTCGGACAACGAGTCGAAATTCGGGGGTGCGTATCGAGTACGAGGATATAAAACTGAGAGTCAGGTGTCCGTTGAGCCGAGGTCCTCAGGCCAAAATGGACATCCAGGAAATCGGTTGGATTGTGGGCGAATGCTGGGCTTGAGCCGTGACTGATGTTTCTGATGGAAAGAGGGAAAGATTCTACAATGTCGTAGAGGCGTTTATTGAATCGAAAAATGGCAGCCTAGAGCAGTAGGCGACTAACTTTCGACGAAGGGAGGCAACAGGGGGAGGGGGGAAGTAAGGTTGGTGTGAACAGTAGATAATTTCGAGGCAGTAAACCCAAAAATGCTTATGCTACTGTCCTGCTTTGCCTGCTCTCGTAAATAGGAAACAAGAGCGTGTTGGACGAGAAAGACGTGTCGATTGAATAAACTCGTAGCCTAGAATCAGAACCAGAACCAGAATCAGAACCGAGGCCGGTGTATTTGCTTGTTACGTTGCTTCGTCACGAGGGTATCGGGAGAAAACGCAGAAGGCCAGGCGGCGGGGTGGTTATGATTGATGGATGTAGAAATGATTCCAGAGGATAGGTAGGGAAGAAGGACGAGGGAGGAGGGGGGGAAGGATGAGGTAAAGAGAGGTAGTATTCGTAAACCAATACAAACGGATCCTCAGCGGCAACTCTTTTCTAAATTGAGTAGGCGAGAGAAGTTGTGGTTTATAGAGAGAGGGCACACGGATCCCAGGGAATGAGAAAAAGAAGGCCGGAGGTTATTTTTTGCGTTGTGTGAATAATAAATTTTTTTTCCTGCGCTTCTTTCCCCTCACTGATCCGCAGGCGGGAGGTACCACAGAAATATACTGCGACTAAGTGATTTAGAAGGTACCGCTGCGCCGAGCGGGAATCCTTGGGAGATGGACTGGGAAACGGGTCGGGTTGGAAGGATGGAGGGACATTCTTTTCCGCTCTGGGGTGTTTTTTTTTTTCTTCCCACGCGAGACGCCCATGAACAGATAAAGCGATGTTAATATTCTTTGTCATTCTTCCTCCTCTTGTTTCATTTTGGCTCATTTATTTCTACGATACTGCATTTACTTGACACTAACAGCAGTTTGGTTATTAAATCCCGAATACGGCGCTGTAACATTCAATCGCTATTCTTGTTCTATGATTTGCATGTTTGTCATTGACTGATGGAGATGTGCATAGTAGGACTTACATCACTGGTGTGCCTAACTATAATCAGTGAATGCATTGTTTAAGTAACCCAAGTCAGCGACGGGGTTCCGCATATCCACCGAGTAACAATACCTGGAGTGCCACTGTATCGCTGACTCGAGCCTTATGAATGAAAGCCCTGCAGCCGACGGCACTGATCATCATACCAATCTGCCTCGGGTTCATCTTTCAGTGGGATTCAGGGCAAGGCTTCTTCTTCTCGTTTGCGCTCCACTCTGGATGCACCTCACTGCTAGAAGCCGCCGTCATCCATGGATGTCATGGCACCCGAGACCCCGAAGAGGCCTGCAAACAAGGGCATGATAGAGTAACTACTTCAACCGGAGCCGGACGACCGTGATAGGTGGAGTTGCGCGAATATAAATCGGCTTTTCTGAAGTACCTTTGTCGTTACTTTTATTGTTGTTACTGTACCCATGCGATTATTTACCCTTTCGCTTTACGAAGTTTGCCCTGTTGAGTGTGTTTTGGTTATCTTGCACCAGCTGCGTACACAGTGAGCTGGCCGTGCTATGTACAATGTGTAGAACTTTGCAATTACCACAAGCATACCAGACACATCCATGTCTCTGCAGGTCTCTTTGTCTGAGAAAGCCTGATCTGTGTGGGTAATCTGGAGGCCAGTCATTACATACATACACACTCGGAGCTAGTAAGAATCCTGGGTTTCACAAAGGGCAGTTGACCGGGTCGAGTGTATGACATTTAATGAATCTCCCGGAGCTCGTGTAAGAAGCCAAACTTTATTTTAAATAGAAATAAACAAAAGTAATAAAACAGAACGCTGAGTCTACGGTAACAAGCTAGAAATTACTCAACTTTTGGATACGCATCAGGTCATGTTCGGTCCACGAGCACATCAAGAAGCAGATCAGCAGGTTGTTAACAGGAAGAGCAAATATAAGAGAATCTGCATACGTCTCAAAAGACCACCCATCCAGATGATTACACAAAGGGCAACAAGGCATCTACTGGTCATGAATCTCATCAGTTTCGAACAATCATTAGGCAGTTCAATACTAAATCGAGAGATACGAGTCGGAGATGGTTCATGTGCCAATTGTCTTTCCAACTCATACATACTACTACCTAGTCTGGTGCAATTTTTTTTTTCCATTATAATTTTACTTTCATAATGCAAAAGCCTAAAGTTAAGGCCACTACAGCATACGTCATTGCATTTTGCAAAGCTGCCTACCTGATTAAGGTTAATTTCCTGTTGATTTTAGAATAACTTTCTTTCAGATCTAACACAGTTATATTCTAAACATCCAGCTATATGGCTACCTCCTTTATCAACTCTAATAGGGCTTCATTTATTTTAGACATCAAGTGGCTGCGAGATCTTCCTAGATTTCATTACAAACCGATGCCCCACATATGGGTTTGCTCATTGGATACAGCACCTAATAACTTGCCCTTTTGGTAACGCTTACCTAATCACCAATCACCACATGGAAACTGCCTGATACTGGTACGAAATACTAAGGTAGGTAGCCTGGGACTCAGTTATATGGAAAAATAGAGATTAAGGCCCTGTGAGGACACAAAGGGGTTTACTGCGTCAAATGATGACTGTAGTACTTTGGCTGGGCATATACCACAGCAAGACTCGGACTTGATTACAGGTATATATAATTACAAAAATTATACATAGGTATTTGCTTTTATCCTAAATCGACAGCTGTTCTCGTAAAACCATTCCACTGTTGCCTGAATCCATGATGTTATGGTCAATTCGCTGCTAATGTTACACAAGACAGACAGTTGGTGTACAGGAGGACTTGGATCCTTGGAGCCTGGGAACATCGTGAAACGTGTTGAGGACAAGAGTCCCGTACTGCATGTAGTCAAGGGACTTTTCTAGCCAGTCATCCATGCTGTTGCTTGCCTTGCACCAAACGATGTGGCAAAGCGCAGTCCAGTAGATCCCATAGGGAAATAACTGATCAAGTACCAGAGCAGGCAGGCAAGTTGAACAAGAGCGGAGAATAAGGTGAGAATTGTGCTGTGAAGCTTTCGGTATGTAAGTAAAATCTTCAGCCCATCGCAAGCTAGACCTCACCTTCAAGGCAAACACTAGGGTCAACGTGATAGAGCCGAAATACGCCGCAGTAAACGGCAGTCGAGGAGTCGAAAGAAGGTGATAAACGTAGTTCATGGGGCCCATTACCGCAGCGAAGGAGGCCAGGAACATTAGTGATCCAACCGACCATCTGCATAGCCCCACATTAGTTTCCAAATGGGATTTTGAAATTCACCATGTCGAATCTACGACATCATATCATGGGGAAAACTAGTCACAATCAAGACGGTCTCACAGTAGTAAGGCCGCGTGACATAGATAGACAAGCAATATAGGATGAAGAGGGCAGACTGAAAGGGTTGCGCATGGATTTCCGACTTACAATATGACAAACTTGCGTGGTCTCAGAGAGAGGACGGGGAATAGAGTGAAGCAGATGACGAAACATGCCACAGCAGCGAGGTTACAAGCACCAAAGATCAACAAGCGATCCCATCGGCTAACTGCCAGTTGGGTTAGTGTCTTCTAACCACGAGGCATGTCATCCGCATCACATGCATAGTTCAAGGCATGGCTCAGATGCAATGCACATGTCCCGCTGCAGGGGTGCTGGAAGACGATAGGTGAAGAACATCCAGGGTTGACTCACGAACAAACCAGCCTTCCTCTTCTTCACGTCGACTGGGCGCGGGGAGAGGTGCACCTGAACTCTCGGTGGTAGGTAGACGGACATAACCGCTGCCTCCTTGGAAGGGATTTAAACTCTGAAGAGAGGAGAGTAACCCGCTTTGCTGAGAAGTATTGACTGGTTCATCGCGGCGACTCCAGCCGAGGGAGTTTATCGAGTCTCGGAAGGAGGAAGAGGCCATGGCGACAGGGGACCAGAGGGGCGGAAACGTAAGGGACAGGTTCAGCGATCGCGGGACAGGGACGGAGCGGCTAGGTCGATCGTGCGGCGCAGGTTCAGGTTCAGGATGAGATTCAGATTCGGGCTGGAGGTCGAGCTCGTAGGTGTGGAGGGTGGGACGGGCTTAACGCAAGACGGGCGATAAAGGCGGCCTCGTATCAAACTAATAATATAACTTGGAACAGCAATGTCCACTTCCTTGGAAAGTCTGGCATCGTGGTTGATGTGGTCAGTCGACGAGTACCCATGATATAGAGGCAGAGCCTTAGTTAACAAGGCGGACAAAGCTGGCTGCCTACCGCGATCTGTCGCCTACAGAGCTTAGACCTGTCGTTGACGACGTTGCTTTACGCAAGGTGACAGTACCCTCGATAGGCACGAAGGACTACGAGTCCTCGGGGGCTTAGGCTGGAGCGTTGGGGCCAAGGGGGTTGCAGGCGACCGCGCGTACCGCTCGAAAATGGCGGAGGTGGTAGCGATAAGAGCAAAGGCAGATGCGTGACAAAAGTCGACCGGAGTGTTTTGCGCGCGAAAGAGAAGAGAATGGGGACTATGGTCTATCTGGGCGTTTGGAGAGGAGTGAAGTTGGTCGTTGATAGTGGAGGGCGGCACTAAGCTGGGAAGTTGATGGATTGGGGTTGGGCGTGTGGTTCTTTCCTTGGATTGGATCCCATCGATTCCTGTAATGCCGTCCTCTCAGAAGCATTTGCTGAGGTTAGGCAGCGCAGGGGATTATATGATTGGCTGTGTGAGAGTGGAAACGAATTTGGGGTAGGTCTGGTGCCACCTGTGGCTCCCCCATCTTCCTTGCACGGGCCGCCTTTGATTGATGGAAGCCTCAAACGGACACTTTTGGCGGGGACGGGAGGGATCATGCATGACACAGAAGCATATGGCCAGGGATGGGAAGGCTTCAGAGTCAGAGCTCAGAGCTTCTGTCTGGCTCTTTCGGAGCTGAGCTGAGCTTGGGGCCTTGCAGGACGGAGCTTGAGACGCACCTGGAGGTTCCAGAGATCTTGAGGCTGATCATAGGCTTTTTGCCCATGCTAAAAAGAGCCAACCACATATCGCACATCCACGGCCTCACAAACACAGCCAAGTCCTCTTTCAGTGCATATGGCTTCAGAAGTTGAAAAAAATCTACATACAGGACAGGGTCCAGGCGGGAGAGGAGCGGGTGGACGGAGCGCTCCATGTTTACTGCTACCACTTACCACTTGAGGAGCGGACCGTAGAGGGCCGGACACGATCCGTAGGGAAACTAAGACGAGAGATTGTAAGAGGAGTCTGACTGATACCATACCCTCCATGACGAATGAGCCCGCACCAAGTTTCTGCCGTACATGTAACAACACTGAACGTGAGTGGAAAACACTACTAGAAACCTTTACACTCTCATCTAGGTATACGAATGTCACCAGGCCGACAAGAGTCAAGTCCCCCCGAAACACTCCGCTCTATGATTCTCACGACAACCAGCCGCTTCGAGATATTCTGCGACAATGATGGTGGGCTTCGAGCTGGGGCGCGTGGCCAGGGAGAGGGAAGAAGGATGGGAAAGTATCCAGCGCATGACCGAGCACAGAAGAAGAGATTCGAGGGAGGGGAATCGATTGCATGTAGCAATTCCCGATGAGTCCTTAAAGTCCCAGACAGTAGGTTGGGCTTGGTGTCTTAAATCCCAAGTCACGTTCAGCCTGGCGCCCACACACACAGTCGCATCCACACCCTCCCCTGTCTTTTCTATCTTGCATCAACTCTCAAGTGTAGACCGGACATAGCAGAAAATAGCGGCCACCATTACCGCCAACTTTCTGTATCTATAGCCAAGCCCAATTCCAGCTTGCATACAACTACATAGGGACCAGTGACCACGGCCTCCACGTTTGGTCTGAAATACATTATGTCAGGTGGGCGAGAGACGATAAGAGTTGTACATCTGACTTGACGGCTATGGCTAGTATTTTTAGCCTATTCCTGGAAGTATAAATTAGGGGACCATGGTGCCTTAGCCTCCGGTCAAGGATTGTTGATCTCATCTTGCAGCTGTGTTAGAAAGGACCTTACTCTTTGAACTGGCCTTTCCAGTCATCAACAACATCTGGGACTTGATCGTACGGAGACGGACTTTGAAGGAGTAAGCACAGCCAGCCATAGGGGACGAAGAGAAGGACGAGCGAGAGTCGATATCAAGAGCAAGGCTAAGAACAGAACAAGAAGAGAAATCCACTTGATCATTCGAAACGCAGCTATCCGTTGAGTCTATTTGATCAGCGTCCATACCTACCACGTTCGTGAGAGTTACCACCACGAGAGACGGGAGACCCTTACATTGGTGCTTGGGCTTGTTCGTATCGGATCTTTATCGACTACTACTAACTCACTTACACCTAACAACCACCCCCCCTTTGGATCGTCAGCCACGGCTGAGTGTGGTCTTGCACTGGACCCTTGACCGACTTTATTGTCATATTGTACTTACACTTACGCCACCCTCTCTCCTAAGCCATCACCTGTCCTCCAGCTCTAGGACCCTCCAGCCTATATTGGAGGCGCCATAAATACAATAAACGTCAGACCGCTTGCTCTTAACGTCACCGTCAATCGAGAACGCTCATCTTGGCCCAAGCTGGTCTTTTATGCACGGTATCCGATCCTGCCGCCGTGTTTGCGCCATCCGCCAACTTTAGTATTTCACACTTGTCTGGACAATAACAGATCTCGAAGTCTCGCTTACTTTGTCTGTGCGTTCGAATAAATTAGAACGCATCTGGAGACAAATAGCAAGGCCTTTTTAACCTTCAATACTTCAATCGTGAGAGTTGCGACTGCGAGTCTTGCTCCTTATCCTCAAACTTGAGCTTCAGCGCGGCCTCACCTCATCCCGAGGACGGATCTTAACATCTATCACATCACCATACATTACGGACCTGAACCCTGCATTTCGGCGCCCCGCTGCTACTCACATCCACATCCTTCCATTCCCCGATTTGGACAACCTCCTCGACCACAGCTCAAGCAACACTTCGAATACAATTCGGGTACTTTATCCTGCTTCGTCCGCTCGACTCGACTTACCATAGCCTTACCTCTCAAGATATTATTGCATCGCCTGCTCTAAGCCGTATTATCCGCCTCGGCTATCGTACCGCATCGCATCCATATAAGTCGACTGTGCAAGCTCAACAACACGGCTGCTTCCATGCCTTCTGCGCATTTTGGTGCCTTAACTATACTTGGTGAGTAGAATAATTCATTCTTCTTTTCTGTCCGGTTGCCTGGCATGTTGTACGTATGCTCTGGTCCGGTTGTTCTGCCCAGACAAACCCCTACCAACCGCTTGGACTTTCGTGGAAGGACGACGCATCATAGCCTCATTACCTACCTCCTACCTACCAACCTAGCCCCCCTCCCCAACGATCTTTGTCTCTTTGTTATACAAGCTGTTTGCTCAGCTTTTCAACCTGATACGTTCTTCTTATTAGTGTCGTTGTCATAATTATGACCCACGGTCTTGCCCGTTTGTTTCATTTCTCATCTGAATATCTTGTTTCCCTCCCTATATCCCGTCTCGACTGAGGTGCGCCGAGCTACGAGGTACAAGTGACATACCGAAACCGTGGCCCCCCCTCTTCTGATTCGGGTGCCACACACACATCACATTTCGCGCTCTCATCGCCCAAAACCAAGACCTCCATCATCCTTCTTCCTCTAGCTGCGACTCAGACATCCGTATTCCAGAACTACATTGCTGACTGGTCATCTCACCATTCCAAGAACAGCCACTAAAACCCTGAATCTGAATAAACGCTCTTCACCGCCTAGCTCGACTGGGTTTATCCTTATCCCTTCCAAGTCTGCAGCTTCATTTACGACTCAGACTCAGACAAAGAACCCCTCAACTGCTTCTCCGACCGCCGTGCCCCCCGCCCCGACCATCTCACAGGACAGCATCTCCAGACTGCTACTAATAACACTGGACTGGGGCTAGCACTGTACGTGCCAGACGATAAACTGGACCTTTTCGCCCGTGCGTTACAAAGTACTCCAGCCCAAGTGGCCAAACCCACTCTCTGCTCTTTTGGCTTGCGGAGTACCTGTACCCCCAGGGAGCGCCCCCAGCGCTTTAACCCCTTGTAGGTACCTGGCCCTGACCATAGTGAACGGACGCCTGGAGGTCCTGCACTCAGTGCCCACCATTTCAACCCCCCTCCAACCCCGAACGTCTCCCTCCGACCCTCCGACTCACGACATTCATCTTTCCCACAATACCTTATCTGGCTCCAACTCCATCCGGGATACTTTCCGTTGCGGCGCTTGAATCATCACTCACCTGGCACTCGCTATTCATTTATGGACTGCAGATAGCGCACACTCTATATTCCCCGAATTCAACTGCAACACTCTCTGTTTGGTGAGTCAAAGGAATCCAAACCTCAACCCCCGGCCATCCGCCCGCCACTTCCCTCCTTGCTGTAACCTCCGCGGCGGTGGGCACCCCATATATGGATGCCCGCTTCCCATCGCCGAGCCGGTCTTCTTGACTTTGCATTTCCCCCGCTTTGTGTTCGGCGCTGTCCTGACTTTGCTGACTCGATCCCTTAACAGGCCAGTTCAAGCTTGATCTTCGTAACTCAAACGTACCATCAACCTTAGCCGAACTGGTGAACGCCCACAATATTCCGCCCACATCCCCCCTCTAGCTAGGGCAACAACATCCGACTCTTCAACCACGATACAATAACCTAACCTCTATCATCCCCGTCATAATGGCCCAGCACGGCTTCAACCAATTTGGCAACGGCCACAGCGGGGCGAGTATCGATCCCAACGATCTCGCCATGTCAGGTGGTTATTCTCCTTCATTCAACAACTTCAACTCGAACTCTGGAAACGGCACAAACGGATTCACAAACAGTTCCGCTATGTTCGATGATGATGAGCTTTTGGATGGTCTGAATGCACCTCCTGTTACCCAGTCCGGAATCTCGGGTCAAGGCCAGGACTTTTCAGGATTAAGTATGGGCGGCTTCTCTCAGAATGCATTCCCTCATCGTAACTCGGGTCTGCAAATCGACCAGTCACATATGAACGGGTACTCGAGTACCCCCGATGGAGATCCCATTCAAAGTCCCTTCAATACTGGTTTCAATACCCAGTACCGACAAATGCAAGGCCACTCACTCGGAACCTCTTTACATTCCCCCTTGTCCTACAACGAATCTCCATTAGCCGGTGCCATGAATGCCGATAGCAACGACCCGAACTTCCTCAACGCTAAAGCCAGAGCCAGAATGTCCCAGCAGATGCAGCGGAAGACATCCAATAGTCGTAGCCCTATGTCACCCATGACTCCCAAAACCGCTACCCTTCATGGAATGACAATTGGATCGCAGGAGTCTCCCGGTTTCGGCGGTCAAGCCATGAAGTCAGCCAATGGCCAGTGGCTCAACACCCCTGCTGGAAGCATCCCCGCATCTTACAATTCTGGGTACTCCTCTCCTATGCAGCCTGGCATGAATCAAATCAGTGAGGTTATGATGAAGGGTGGTACTTCGATGCCTGCGAAGCTTGGTGTCGCTTCAAACGCCGTTTCCTCTCAGGAAATGAAGAGGAAACGGCGGCGAGAGTCTCACAACCTTGTTGAACGTCGTCGACGAGACAACATCAACGAAAGGATTCAGGATCTTAGCCGACTCGTCCCCACTCACCGTCTGGAGGATGAGAAGATCCGAAAGCTTATCCAGAACGGGACACCTCTCTCTCCATCATTGACTGGAATCGCGAGCCCTCAAGCAACGTCTGGCCTCGCCGGACCAGGAGCTCGAAGAGCCACTGGAAACACTGCAGGTAATATTACGACAGGTCTCCCTATCGAGGACAAGGACAAGGGTCCCAACAAGGGCGATATTCTCAACGGCGCCGTCAGTTGGACGCGAGATCTCATGTGGATGCTCCACCTTAAACTTCAACAGCAGGAGGAGATGATGAACACTATCGCTGAACTGGGTGGGCACTTCCCCTTTGAGATGACAGAAGATGAGCGACGGATGCAGACCGAGCTCATGGATGCTATAACAAAGAGTGAGAACGGTACTTTCTCTTACTCGCGAACAGCTGGATCTGGTCTGCGAGTTCCTCACCACACCGATTATCGGGGCGACTCTTTGTCAGGCGGAGGAGGCAGCCTCGATCCTGTTGCCATCAGCCCGGATGACAACCTCGACTTGAATGACACCAACCAATTTTGGCATGATCCGGATGACAACAACAGTGGCCACGCTTCAGTCAATTTCAAAGAAGAGGATGAATATGACATGGATCTTACGCAGTAACGTGAGCATTTTTCTAACCCACCTTATTCGGTCTTTTGGAGCATGTCTCTTCGAGCGCAGACCAGAACTACATTCGCTGGGTGTCCTCTTTTGCTTCCTTCAGGTGTTGGCGTTTCCGGTATGTGGTACTGGCATCATTCCCATCATTGCATGTCACTATCCTCCTTGACCGAGCATTACAATGCAGGGCAGTTCAAGGGGCGTGATCTCTCGGTGTTTTGGCATTCTCTCGGTGTTGTCTTTTTTCGTTTCGTTTTGGGGTGCAGAAGGCTTGTGCCTAACCGCATTATATAGGATTACAGGGGCATGTCCGAAATACTTCCTTGTGCTGAAGGTGTTAACACTTGTTGGGTTTGCTTCTTATTTTTCTCCTTTCGAAGGTGGGCTGGTTGTTGGTGTTGATTTTCTTCTTTTTTTCATGTTACGATACCTTGGGTCAATTTATGCATTAAGTCTAGGAGGCAGTTAATGAATGGATGCAAGGTCAAATCTCGAATGTCTCTGGTTTAGGAAACTTCACTTCTCTCCACTCCTACTTTTCCTCTTGCAGTCTAATACGCACGGTGCTCTTTTTGCCCAAGTTTTGGTAACAAGGCGAATGGAAGTTAGATCCTTTACTGGGCTGGAGGAGTGCTCTAACTTATTGTGCGTGCTGCAGTTTTGCAGCTGTTTCGTTGCTTTTTATTGCCTAGATACCACATGCGAGATACTTATCATTATAAATGTTTCTATCCATGACCACATCTCAACATCTATACACGAAAGTCTGGTAGCCTGCCACGGGAAACTTAGCCAGCTGGGTCACCAATGACGGGTGCAGAGCAAATACTCGCCCATAGCTGTTAGTGTGTTCCATACCAACTTCCGCTTCATATCCTCTTGTAAAGCGATGCGTTCCAAGGCACACCGGCCATCAAAATACTTGCACATAACCTGCCAACTGTTTGCTAATTTTTCGTCGCTGAAACGACGAGCGATGGCCGACAGGTAGCGTGATTCCTTGCCGGTGGCCTTTTTGGCATCGAGGATGATGTGAGGTGTCAAGCCTTGGAGATGCGGGTGGTCGTTTACAGAGGGGTGTGCCGTTGCGACTGGGACAGGCTTACGGGCATGTGCTGTCGCCTTTTCAGCGGCGTCGCGCTGGGCTTTGGAGGCAATCCGCTCGAGACGGGCTTTCTCTGCGGCCTGCTCGGCAACGGTGGGAACATGAGAGCCGTCAGTGCCGGAGTGACCTTCGGAAGACTCGGAGGTGCGTGGGGCCGAGGTAAACGTAGAGGTATCGTCTTTGGCCTCCTTTTCTTTGCTTTTATTCGCATCTGTATCCGCCGCGGCACGGAGCTCCTCAGCTTCCATCTCGTACTCGACCTCGTACATGATTTCAGGCCAGACGACGACGTAGGCAAATGTACAGAGTTGGGTCACCCAACCGCGACGCATGAGCCAGGAAAGCATAAGAAGATAGGTCGGGCGGTGGGCTTTGCTAGGCGAAAACTGCTTGTATGGACGGGGTGCTTGAGAGAGCTCAGCGAGAAAATTCGGGAGCGGTGGAGCTAGGGGGAATGCTCTCTGCCATTCTAAAGTGTCGAGAGGAAGACGGGATAGGTCACTATTGGGGGATAATATATATTGATCCTTGGCGTGGAGGGGAGGGATAGCAATGGCACGACGCCAGAATATAAAATGTTGAGCATATTTTCGCACTTGACCTAGAGTCAAGATGTTGCTTTGACCAACTTGGTAGAATCTATAGACATGTTGAGCTAAGTGAAGGGCCGGGATCAGATGTAGTGAGTCACATACGATTGTGTTGGCTTTGACAGCCGTACAAACTCAACCATTGAGGCTGTAGTTGGGTCTGGGTCAGCTTGGAGCTCGGCGATGATTTTCTTTTCATCATCAGTGAGCAGTAGAGCAAAGTTGCGATCAAGAAAGCCAGGCTCCTCGAGGGCATCTTGACTGATGAAAGTATTCGCGGTCGTGAGCCAAAGGCCACGCTGGGTCCCCTCTTCGCCCTGAGGGAGGTCATCGATGTAGAAAGGAATAGGAATCTGAACCGAAGGGGTCAGAGAGCCAGCTGCAGTATCGAGATGCAGAGCGGCGATCTTGTTTTGAGACACTGCCTCATATATATCGTGCATGGCAGCGGCCAGTGATGAGCTCTGAAGTATTTCTTTCCAAAGAACACTCATTCGTTTCCCTGATCAATGTTTAATTGTGAGTAACTTAATAAAGTTTTGAGTAGAACATACGCTCCTCTCGCGCCTTATCTTTGGCGACAAGTATTCGTTTCGACTCTTTCCACACAAACTCGCTATGTTGCTGGCTGTATTTGAAGGCCTTGCTAACCTTCTTTATAATGTGGTCGTATATGGATTCAACGACATCCTTAACTTCGTTGCTGCTAGGGTTAAGGATGAAGACGAGGTTAAACATGGTCATGGAACTGCGTTTCTCATCGTCCTTGTCCTTACCGTCTTCCTTCTTGCCATCCTTTTCCTCTACAGGTTGCTCAGGCGCCTTTCCTGCAGATGGAGGATCGACCTCATGAGGCGCTGGTTGTTCTTCGTTGTACGCAGAGCGCTTATCAGCGCGGGATGTCTTCTTCGGCTTCTTCCATCTGCCATTTTCGGGAACATGGATAGGATAAGATACACAATATAGTGGATCTAATGATAGTTGAAAGAGTTTCTTGTGATAGGGGCGGGCGGGAGTTAGAATGCCCGCAAGATCGCGAGCAGGGAAGCCTGCAACACGTTCCCACGGAACAATCTGAGATCCAGATTCAGTAAAAGAGTGCTCGTCTGCGTTGCGTCCCTGCTTAGGGAGAGGTACGTCGTCAGCAACATCCGAGAAGCTCTGCTGCGACAGCCGTTCAAGAAGAATATCCTCAAGCTCGGCACCTGTGGAAGAACTTGACTTGGAATGAGGCTCAATGTTTGCGGGGTAGTGGAACACAAATGCTGGGCCATCGCGAGAGCGATTGACTACAAGAGCAACGGCGAGGAAATTGTCGCTAGTAACACTCGGCACAGCCATAGTGAAGGGTTTTACATGATAAGACTGAGGGTAAAGTAGCTAATGGTTGTCACATGAAGCGGCAACATTGTTGACCTGATGTAAGTCTTGAATGAGTAGTAGGTGGGCACCTATTTGAGATGTGGTTTGTCGCGATGGAGTTTGTCCAATGAACTACGCCTCAGGTGCTTGGGAGAGATGAGCCTCATGAGCGCCACATTTTCGCAAATAGAGGGGAGTCCAGGTCAGTAGGAGGGGAGGAAGGTCACACACGGGTATCAGGGATGAGCGAGGTACGAGGTGGGGGTTTCAAATGAGGCTCATGACATACCCTAAGGTTCCCTGGGTACGGACAATTCATATGCGGCGTCTAGGTTCTTTTTAGAAAGGGAAGGGATGGGATCGGAAGGGAAGCGAATGAATAACATCCATCCTTCGTTAGTGATCGAGCTATTTCTTTGTCACGAGCGTTGCCTTGCGTAAGTGGAGGCCAATGAGGTCCTTTTGGCTGGCGCCGTAAGGGATCAAGCAACATAAAGATCCATGATGTTTAGCGCATAATAGCCTGCCAGATTTGACGAGTCGGTGTGCAGAATAGGCAATTGACAATAAAACAGGGGCCAAGAGAAAACTCGACGGTCCAGTTCCTCTCGACCGCAATAAGCAGTATCAATTTATCCAGACAGTTGGATTGCCTTGGATTGTGTCGTATTTCCATGAAAGGGGCAGTGTTATTCGCATATCAGTGGCGAGAAATCATTCTGGTTTCCGGCCTTTTTTTTTTTTTTTTAAAAAAAAAAAAAAAAAAAAAAAAAAAAAAAACCCAACGGGATTCCCAACACAATTTACTGCTCATTTCCCTTTCACTTATTCTCCTCTCCCTTACCCCAGTATCTACCGACCGGCTACATTACTGTTGGCTCTTTTCTTTCAAGTAGCAGCACTACTTTGGTGGATAGTCGAGTCGAGTTCAGTGCCACAGGGCACGGAGGACAACACAATCACCTGAACATGTGATTCTGGGTCCAAGCAGACGAATATTTTTCTTTTCATCGTACACTGCCGCCGAAAGCAACCTTTGAATAGCGGTCGAGGCTCGTCTTTTAGACACTCTCGTATTTTCTTGCAGCTTGCTTCAGCCAAAGCATCTAATGCCTAGTTCCCACATTATCACGCACTATTCATACCATTTATGAATTCACACTGAATCCCCATATTCCTTCCATTGAATTGCATCCATGCATCTAGGCTTCACATTCACATCCACATCCACCTTACGAGTGACACGCGACAATCCTTCCCTCGTATCTAAAAAGTCCCAGGCTGCAGCGGAAAACGGCACTCCCTTCCTTTTCATAAGGTCTAGGCCGTCTCTCTGACTGGCCCACGCCCACAAAAGCAGCAGCCAGCACCAACACCGCTCTGTCCCGTCTGCCTTAGCTTTATTACTATTTCTACACGAGGTACCTAACCTTTGCCGGCTTCCGTTCGACTGGAAAGGTAACAGGTCGTGTGCTTTCCCTCCTATTTTATTATCTATACCGCCCTCTGCTTGCATCACCACCGTCTCCTGCTGCTTTTCCCTCCGTCATCACCACCATCTCGTACTCCGTCCTCGCCGACCCCTCCGCTTCCCGGCCGTCCCCCTCCTTGAGCCTCCGGTACCCCTTTCTCCACTGTCTTACGGTACGACCTGTCTACTACCACCGTCGCCGGCGCCGCTTTATCCTGGACCGTCCCCGGATTTACGCCCCTGAACCCCTAAAACAGATCTATCTGGCTGCTTGGGAATTTTTTTCTTCAACCCTCAACCTGATCTTTTCAGCCTTGATATTCGGACTCGCTTGTTCGCAAACAACTCCGGCAACTCTCCCACCCACATCTTGACCTACCTCTCCTAATTTTTCTGGCCCGCTGATTATTTGGACCCCGCCATCTCACTCTTCCGTCTCCCCTCTCTTACCGTCCTCCCCCTCAGCGCGTACCCTCACCTCCTTATTTTTCACTCATCGCTGCACTCGCGTGACCATGACAACATCACCAACCAACCTCGATTTTGGCCATGTGCCCTTCTTGGACTTGGCCTACGACAACAATGAATCACAAGACTCGGCTCGAACACTCATCCTGACACTCATGCCAGACTGGGCGAGCCAAGACTCAAACGTTGAATTTGTGCGTTTCACTGATGGCATCACCAATACTCTGCTAAAGGCCGTCAACCACCGCCCTGGCATGTCCAAGCTTGATGTTGATCGGGATGCTATCCTACTCCGAGCCTACGGTCATGGAACTGCCGTTCTCATTGACCGTGAACGTGAGGCTGAGAACCATGAGCTGCTCATGAGATATGGTCTTGCTACTCAGTTGCTTGCCCGTTTCAAGAATGGCATGATGTACCGTTATATCCTGGGTAAACCTGCACGTGCCCAGGATCTTCGTGAACCTCTAATACTATCTGCCATCGCTCGTCGTCTTGCACACTGGCACGCAACTGTACCTTGCTTGCCGGACCCCAATCATAGTCGGGACGATAGGCATGTAAATGGCGAGGCCAAACTCAATGGACTTGCCAACGGTAACACCGGCACCAATGGTGATAGCCTGACCAACGGGAATACCAACGGTATTGTGAACGAAAACAACAAGTCTCGCCAAGAACAGATTGATAATACTGCCCCTGGAAAAGCTCCGCCTAATATGTGGACAACCATGCAAAAATGGATCTTCGCCTTGCCCACTGATACGGACGCTCAGCGGCAGAGGCAGGCACTGCTGCAGGCAGAGTTGAAAGAGATGGTCCAAAAACTGAGCCAGCGGCCTGGCTTGGGCAAGAACGGGGTACGTTCATAAGCACACAGTTACCCGATGGAAAATATTAACCTATGTGTGCAGCTTGTATTTGCGCACTGCGACCTGCTGTGTGCCAACGTTATCATCCACGAAGACGATGAGGCGGCCCCTACCGTCGACTTCATCGATTACGAGTATGCTACACCATCGCCTGCGGCTTTTGACGTGGCGAACCACTTTGCAGAGTGGGCAGGGTATGACTGCGACTACTCGGCTGTACCCAGACAGGATCAACGACTTGCGTTTGTAAGGGAGTACATCAAATCTTACTTTTCTTTAACCGGCGAGGAGGTCGATGAAGAGGAGGAGGTTCGGAAACTCATGACCGAGGTCGATGCGTATCGAGGAGTGCCAGGATTCTACTGGGGCATCTGGTCCCAAATCCAAGCTGTCATTTCCAAGATTGACTTTGACTATGCTCAATATGCTGAACTGCGATTGAGTGAATACTGGGCATACAAGGGCGAGGAGGATGGCAGCCGAAAAGCTTCAGGCCAAGAGATGCCATTGAGGGAAAAGACTTGGTGGCGCACCGAGTAGGTGAATCCACAGACATTCACCTGAGCATGGCATAGCGGTAATCAAAGCAGGGACTGAAGCCAGTGACATTATACTATGTATTAATTGTCAATCAGTAAGCGAGAGCGAGATTTCCTCAGTGGCTACTGTGGGCGGGGAAACGATTAAAAACGCGTCGGAAATGGGAACGGGCACAACGAGCAACGGTTACAAGGAAGCCATTTTTGCCCTTGTTTTTCTGGATCCAGGTCTGGCTTCTCAGAACCGACGGCTTCATCGTTTCCGTTCTTGGCTTTTCCCAGACCCCCTCTTCCCACGTTCCCTGGACGCTCTCTACATGACGAACAGCCAACCACCCTCGTCCATTCCTAGGGCTGGGTGCGATCCCATTCTATTGATTTGATTTTCTTCTTTTACTTGTTGTTTTATGTCATTGTTGCGTATTCTTGCAATGTTATGACCATATAAAGAAAGCTCAACAGCGGATAGGATGGCATCAAGGGATAAAGCCATTCAACATGAGCGATAGCTACTGCAACTAGAGGAGTAGACAGGTCACAAATGAATTGTCTCGTCCGCATGCTTAGTTATTATAATTGAACCTGCAGTAGATGGGTCCTTTTAATATAAATATGGACATTCTCACATACAATACCTCATAGAGGACATCATCACATATCTACGAGAGAGAAGAACCAAGGTACCTCAATGTGGTGCCTTATTGATACTCGGCATCAACATATGATTTCATCCTGCTGTTCCTCATTACCGAGACATTTCGGACTGGTCAATTTACTTGATTGTTATTACTTAGGCTGACAAGAAAAGGCGGGCATTGTCCAACCACATGCAGCTACACCCTCATAGGCCAGAACCCGAGGGACAGCTGCATCACCAGAAGCAGCATCTTGCGTTCATCACACCCGCTTAGCCAACCGGGGAGATGTCCCAAGATGGCTAGAGAGGGCAGGCGGCTGTCTACAGTGCATGTCTTGGTCGATTCAGGTAACAGCAGCAAGGTATGACTGGATGGTGTGGCGTATGGGACAAGCAGACCAGCAGACGTGGCTGGCATTGGAGATGAGAGATAAAGATGAGAACCGTGAGATGCTTTGGAGCAAGGTAAGGTACGACGATGTAGTGTCACATCAAGCCTGGGGCAGGCTGGGGCATTTGAATGCATGCCGCTGAGCTGGGAACATGGTCTATGTAATACCTACCAGGCTAGGGAAGGCAATAAAACTTAGGACCTCGATCCCAGATGATGAGTATACTTGGGTAAATTATTACTACGGTTAGGGGAATCTTTGATGTGTTTATTTTGGCATTCTTTGTCAAAGTCTGAAGTTTTCTTAACCCCCCGGCTCGAGGCTGGGGTATCGTTTAGTGACTTTTGCAAACTTGCCTGGTGGCGGGGGGACGTTTCTGATTACCTACCTTAGGTACTTAGCATACGACATGTCTGATTGCAGGTTTTCCTTGCAATTGAGGTCATCGAGATGAAGAACGAAATTAAATGTAGACATTTGCTCCGTCGAGCGCCAGGAATGGGCTGGCTTCAAGAGCTTGATCATAATCCATGTTTGGCTAAGGTAGGTCCAGCTTGGGGGAGGGGGGGGAACAAGGCAAGGTGCGGTAATAAGATAAGGTGCTGCAGGTCTTTCTCCAGAAGCCCAGCTCGCAATTTAGGAATTAATTACCTCGATGGCCATGCCTCATGCTAAGGTAAATGTCGCATAAATTCAGACATGGGCTGCCTTTTTAGCCTCGAACACCAACGAGATGAAGGGTCGACCAGGGTTATTTCCAAAACTCGTGGCTTTGCAACGGACGGTTAAAGAAGCGGGGACGCTTGGGCGTTGCCCTGTGGCTTCTTTTCCTCATACCTACCTACGGTAAGTAGGTACCTAGGTGCCCCGGTAGGTCAGATAAAAATCAGGAAACTTAAGCAGATAATTACAGGCAAAGTGTCCCGGTTTTTATCTGAACCGCTTAGGTAGTACCTTATAAAGAGATAGGTACCGCGCACGACCTTAGGTAAGCGCCTACCTGCCATCCTTGGTGATTATTTCTCTTTGAAATAAAGCTTCATTCTTAAAACAGAGTGGAAATAGGTACATAAAAACCAGAAGTGATTAAGAAGACTATTCCAAACAGTTCACTGTTTACAATAACCTCTAAAACCTTGCATCAGACACAACTAAGGTATCAAGCAACCTACTCTATACCTAAACTTCTATTCCCTGATTTTCTTTTTTTCTACTCTGTTTGGCCCATGCTTCCAACTCACGTTCGATTGAATGTGCACTTGCGCTGCATGCGTGGCCGCTAAACACTAACATCCTTGCATCTGCCTAAGAACCGTTGATGTGGGTAGTCCAGGGTTCCAGAAGCCGCTTCTCCTATTGGCTGCTTCTCTGGTTTCAAAACCTTGAGTTCCAGTCGGGAAGGAGCATGGTCCATTTTGTCGCCATCCAGCATCCACATCAACATGGACTTTGACATCCACAATTTTCTTCCACACCCACAATCCCGTCCCGTCTTCCGTTGTCGGGTTGTCAGTGACACTGCACGCTCTTAGCTCATGTTCACAAGCTTACCGACTTTTATTATCAACCTAGGTAGGTCAATCATATTCTTTGACTTGGGGAAGAGTACGGATAGTAACCAAGAATGCCTGAAGAGAAATGCCTACCTGTCTGCCAACCTACCAACTTAGGTACACAAGAGGAATGGATGACCAGGCCCCTCCGGTTCTGACTTCTGACAGCCCTCCAAAAGAGCTTGGGCCAGGCCCAGGGTACCTTAGCTACCCAGCTTTTACCAGGCGACTACACCTCACTATCTCCATCTCACTTACCTCCTAGCTTCCTTCATTGCCATGGGATTGGGTAAATTGTCCCGGCTATACTAAACTTTACTACCCAGGATATGGTAATAGCATGACGCCTCAGCCAGGCTCTCAGCTTCACAATATCATCTCGGCAAAGACAGATAAAAACGCTTGATCAATGCTTCCCAAGGCCACTCAAATTTCCGCTGATCTCGCAAGGTCGTAGTCGATCACCCATATGCAGGGAAGACCGTGTCTTTGGAGACTGATAAAGACGGACACGCAACCAATCTTCAGTACACCAGCATAGTCTCATACATACAGGTGCCTCCAGCACAACACCTCCATTTGCAGTAGCGTCGACAACAGGGGCGAACATGGGGTGACCTCCTCAGGTGCTGCTGGCCTTTTGCTCGTCAACTATCTTCCGCGCTTTATCACTTTGGTTCTCCGGTCATCTCATTTCTGACTCTGAACCAGATTAGACTAGACAACCCCGAGGGTTTCGGCCGGAACTTTTAGGCGCATTCGCCACATCATCCTAGCAATCTCTCTCCCTTGGACAATCTCAAACCCAGCCAAGCCCAGCCGAGAGCAAAGGAGTGAGAGCTACCTTGGGTCTGGGAATTGGTCAAGCTGCCTCACCAAACGTCCTCTTGTTCTTACCGCCAGGAAAATCACCAGCCCCACTGAATCTTCTCAGCCAAAGAATGAAACGAGATGGAGGGTCAAGCGCGTACTGAAGCTGTCCACGTTGCGGCGAGACATGGCGCTGCGATGAGAATGTGAAAAGAAACAATATCAAACAAAGACAGTACCAACGCTAAGGATCGGCCAACATGCACCACCCACGATGACAAGCGTGGGCGCAAAGCCACAGCAACGGCTTGAGCTACGCCCACGTTGTCTCAGTTCCTGCAGCCTCTCTACTCTATCCGTAATAAACAATGGCTCTCGAGAAATGTAACAGGCGGCACCAAAGCCAGATAGACATACTGTGCTCAGCTCTTGACACTCTCGTCAATTGACGCTCCTCCCGCTCGATAACCGTTGTACCTGGGAGGCTTGGCCACCTTCCATGACAGGGTTACGACCGAGAAGGGGCTACTACCCCGACAAGGCTACCATGGCAAGGTCACCGTGATGGAGCATGCGGACGAGGGGGCGAGCTGGGCCAGCAGGGCGAACGGGACGAACAGCTCGCGCAGGGTTGTGGTGCTGAAATCTCTCTCATGCCTGGACTCGTGGCTATTGCTAGGACCCGGTTGGTGGGTGGTTCCCCGCTGGTCTGTCATTGGGATCATGGCCCTGGGATACCTCCAACGACACTGACATGCCAATATTCGCACTGAGCTGTCCACCGCTTTACAACTGGCCACATACCGTGCCAATATGGGCTGAGAAGCACGGCCCTTTCTCACTCTGCCACCCAGTATTCAGATGAGAACCTCTCCTGTAATCAACTGAGTTCGACAGCGAATACAAAGCGTTGTACCCTGCGGCGCCCTTGCAATCCGCGCTTTATACCTGGCTGAATGCGGGCTCCAGACGGATCCAGGCCCAGAGACCGCACCGCATCGTTGTCGGCACTATCTCCAAATCTGCCGTGACGGGGGAGCTATGCCCCACCTTGCTCACTCTTTGCCCTCACTCCCTCGCTGTGCCTCACACATGGCCGGGGCCTTGGGGGGTGAGGGCCCAGCACAATGCAATGTCGTGCGCTCGTGCCCTCTGATAAATCTTGGCTCGTTCATTCGTCTTGATTTCTAACATCTCCACGAGAGCCTCCGGATCGAATTTTGATATTGCCCGTCCGGGGGGGCTCATGCTCTCGTCTTGTTAATTATTCCTTCTAATCCTCTCAGTCTCCTGCTTCGCGCGACGGCTGCCCGCCTTCTGTTGTGTACCACCGACAAATGGCCACTGGCAGATGCGAACAGTAACCAGCCAGCGAACTTCCCGGAAAGGCGACCAGTCATGCTCAGCAGCTCAAGCCCATTCAACAGGAACTCATAGAAAAGTCGACTCTGGACGAGATGAGATGATCTGGTCCAGAGATGAGCCGGGATGACTACACTCCACGGGGCCTATCCGACCCGGAGTCCCATCTTGATCTTGCCGGCCAACGTCAGCGACCTCAGGTTGATACAGGCACTGGGTCGGAGGCAGTTGCACCGTCACCAAACCATCAAGGTCGACACGTTACTCTCAATGCCATTGTCGAGGTCGATATGCTGCGGCGCAAACTTCGTGCCCTCGAAAATCTTGTCGAACGTTACGGTACGCTCTGTTCCGCTTTTCATTATCTTGGAGCGCTGTCACCATGATTTTTGTCTTCCACAGTCTGTGGCGAATATATCGAGTCATATCTAATTCTCACTTTTGTAGGCATTTCATCACACATCCCCTCTCTTTCTGAAGCTGAAGAAGCGCGGGCTCTCCAGTACCGTTGTGAATGCCTCGAAGCTGCATGTAAGCAACAGAGTAAGTGAATAACCTCGCTGTGCACGGTCTATCTTGCAACCTCCGGTAGAGTATCTGATATGGATAGAACTAACAGTATAGACATGGACGTTGCCCGCGCTCTAAAAGGCTCATCTCCATTTCCACCACCTCAAGAATATACATCATGGCTCGATCATCATCTTGCGCATCATGATCGAGTAACACACTCTTTCCCCTCAGCGGCTTCTACTTCTATTACCAACTTCTCGAGGGCACCGTTTAAGTGTTGGCATGAACAATGCATCCACTATGTCTATGGGTTCTCGACGCATCTGGAACGGGACAATCACCTTCGACTGCACTTAACGAAGAATGCAAGTGAATCTGGATCATTTGTGCCAGCCCAGAGCTCTTCGAATATTTCCGAAATACCAGAGACGGGCGGCGGTGCTCTGCCTCGGGACCGGTTGCCGCCTATTCAACCTCCAACCACACTCGTAACGACTAATCTCCCTCCTCTGCCATTCCCGACACCCTCAACCGCCTCCACAGCGACGACAAGAAGGGACCACAGCTCAAGCTTCTCCTTCTCAGACCCCAAAACTGCGCTGTCAAGAAGCGGCGAGGAAACCACATCTGACCCACAGCTGCCTCCTCTTAAAAGAGCTCGCGTCGGACATGATCGTCTGAAGTCAATAGGAGAGCTGAAGCTCCTCCACAACAATGACCCGTGTCTTCGATGTCGAGCTTCGAACAGACCGGTAGGTCCCACCATTATCTGCTGAGTGACCTTAAGTGCTTACCATTCTAGTGCGACGCAAATAACCCCTGTTCCCGATGTTCGGGGATGCCGTCATCCGAGTCCGAGGCACATTGGAGTATCTTAGGATGTTATCGTGGATCAGTGACCTCTCTTGTTGATGTTTTGCTTCAAGGTACCGGTCATTCTTTGTCCAGCTTCCCGCTTTAGCTGACCCTTGATAGGATCGTTCGCCTGGTCACAACCTCAAACACCGCTAACACCCTCTTATCCTCGGCGAGGAAGCATCAACGACCAAATACTCGCTCAGAACCCCACTTTGTCGGCCGTAAAAAGACCTGCCTGGAGGCTTGATTTTCAGGATACTTTTTGGTGGCAGGATGGAGAGCCTGGCCTTGACGAGCGTATTAACCAGCCTCTAGGTCCTGGGTACCACGATCAAGGGACACCGCCACCTGTCCTGCAGCTCATTGCTTCTAGCCCAAGTTTCCGGGGTGCTGCCTTTGATCTTCTGGAGCTGTTGAGTGCCAGCGGTCAACTTTCGATGTCCCGGGAAGAGGAACAGACGACACATCCCTCGCTTTTTCGCGTGAAGCAACTCTTGCGCGAAATCATATTTTACGATACCTCTCAGCCAAGTCAGTTACTACGGAGCGAGGGCACCTATCTTCCGCGCACGCCTGTCGATCGTCGCCCGTCTACCGAGCGCAATGTTTCCTTGAGGGAGTGCACACGACGGTACTTGATCTCTTTGGATTTCGCAACTTCTATTTTACCTACTATGGACCTAAGGCAATGGCTAGGGGTTTTCATTTCGATCTGCATCTTTAGTGCTGTTAACACCATATTGGTTGACATTGCCTTGTCGTTTCAGGGAAGCGATCCATCGCAGGCCAGCACAACACCCACGGAACGACCTGACCAAGTCATTCGAAGTGTCTACCAAGCTTTGGTCTCTCTATTCGCCGCTTCAAATGATCCTTTATCTAATGTGTCTGAGCTCGAAGACCCCATTGCCCGTAACGTTGCAAGAATCATCCGTCGGGATCAGTGGCCACCACGACATTTATTCTCGAGCTTTGATTTTCTCATGAATCTCGGTATGGGGGAAATCCCTAATTCTGGTTTCAACGGCTTTGTTTTACCCAGAAGGCAATCGTTAGATTTAAGGGGCTCGAGGGGTTTCCCCACAGCACAACTAGAGAGTACGACAAGACAGCATTACCTGAAGTCTACGCCATCCCTTAGTTCAGCAGGTCCATCGTCACAATACATACCTTCTGGATCGCGGTCGGATTTTCCTTTACCTGGTCAGTTCTCATTGCCAGGTGATGTTGGAGGACGCACCCGCAGACATACGATAGGTGACGATGTGTCACCACGCCTAGAATCCCGGCGACTTTCGGGTGAACCAATCTCCCCGTCAAGGTTAAAACCACCTTCTCGTCGAACTTCTTTGCGCCGCGTGTACTGCGACAAGTGTAATGAGCATCCAGATGGCTTCCGTGGTGACCACGAGTTACGCCGCCATATAGATGCCAAACATTCGGCCACGGTCAAGCGATGGGTTTGCAAAGAACCCAAGAACCAAATGCCTTCTGCCCCTCAACCAGTGATTCCATTGTCAAGATGCAAAGCATGCTTAGCACAAAAGCGCTATGGCGCATATTATAACGCTGCTGCACACCTCCGCCGCGCACACTTCCGACCTCATCGAGTGGGTAAAGCTAGTGGTGACTGGCCATCCATGAGCATTTTGAAGGACTGGATGCGAGAAGTGCGCCAATCGGTTGATGTTCCAGAAGAACATATCTCCAGCGGTGAAGACGACATGGATGAGTATCCAACACCCGCCGACTACAGAGATCCGATACCGCAACAAGTCCCCGCGATTCCCGATGCATTACCAGCAGTTTCTGCCTTAGGTCCATTACTTTCGTCGAGTTCTATCGAGCCATCAATACCGATCGAACGAGCAAGTCCGTCTCGAAGGCCTACTGAAAATCGCACCAGGTGCCCTCATCCGGATTGTGGTCGTGAGTTTCGTGACCTGGCCTCTCACATGCTTACACACCAAGAAGAGCGGCCTGAAAAATGCCCTATTGTAACATGCGAATACCACACGAAAGGATTCGCGCGCAAGTACGACAAGAACCGCCACGCTCTTACTCATTATCGTGGAACGATGGTGTGCCCATTCTGTCCTGGTGTTGGCAGCCCCTTCGAAAAAGTCTTCACTCGTGCTGATGTCTTCAAACGGCACCTAACTGCTGCCCATCAAGTTGACCAGACAGGCCATAGCAGCGGCCACCGGCTACCAGGGGGCGATGATCCTGTAGGCACGAAAGCAAGGTGCTCCATATGCAAGAACGGGTTTGGTACTGCGCAAGACTTCTATGAACATCTAGATGACTGTGTGCTTGGCGTAATTGTGCCAACTACAAATACATCAAGTCAGCCAACCCGGCTGCAAGGATCTCCCCAATAACATTTGACCGCAAAATGGGCTGTATAATTGACAGGACTACTACGATGTCCGATGAAAACTGAACGAACGAGACGGCTGGGATTATATTGAACGATAGGGGCAGTGAAGCGATTCTTTATTCTTCATTCTTCATCTACTACTTCTTCTTTTACCGCTCTCCCTTCTTCCCTTTTGTTATTTTTAGCATCATTAAGAGTATGTGCCTGGTGCACCGCAGGAATAAGTTTCGATTCTAGATACCACCAAGAGTTACGGCGGCATTGGTCGCATTTTTGTTTTATTATCAGCATATCCTTTGATCAGGCATTATATTTTTATATTTATATTATAGTCTAGTACGCAACTTGGAGTTGCAACTGGCCCATTATCGTTACATCACTTGTATGTCACCAAACCTCTGATCATTGGTCGGACAAGAACGAGATACGAGATACGTATTGTGAAAAGCCGAAGTCTGATATATGATTCATCCAAGCCCCCCTTTTTAAACATACATCATAATAATACCTCCCACACATATCAAAAGTGACATACGCAAACTTTTAAATTCCGAAACCAGGAATTACTAACTAATGATATATTAAACCCAGACGCCAAGCTCATGCTGTAAACCGCTCACTGCTACATGTTTAAATATGTGTAATGCAGTGATTCGCTACGAATACGACCATGCTTGGACATGATCACTTCGAATTAGAATCATCGGACGGCACAGCCGTCTTCTCGTTAATTGGGTCAACCATGAGAGACTCGTCGCGACGACCACTGTGCTTGGGGCTAGAGCGCTTGAAGAATTCGTGAATCTCAGGCGAGAACTCGCCGTCATTGGGCATAGCACCTTCAGTCTCCTTAGGACCGCGGCTGGCCTGGACAAGCTCCCATTCGGTACGCATATCCTGGACCTTGGCCCGCCAGTCAGCCTCGGGGTCGTAACTCTTACCGAGACCTCGGAAGCGCTCCCAGAGAGACAAATGAGTAGGGTTGACAGCAACACCGTGGTACTCACTCTCCTTGCCATCCCGAATATAGTACCAGCGGCGCTCCTGCTCCTTAAGATCAAGACCAGTAGTATCGGGAAGAAAGATCCATGTCAGAAGCATGCCAGCGAGACCAAACCATGGGACGACGTAGAATTTAGTCTGGTCATCAATGTAGTTGTAGAGAACGGAAGCGAGAAGAGCGCCGGATTTGCCGATACAGGCGGAGAAGCCGTGGGCAGTAGCACGGATGGGCGTGGGGAATACCTCACCAGCCACGAGGAAGGTGACCGAGTTGGGACCGAATTGGTTGAAGAAGGACGAGATGAAGTACATGGCCTGGAAAGAATGGATTCCCGCAGGACTGGTGTAGTAGTCGAACTTGAAGGCGGGAATAATGAACATCAGGAAGCACATGAAGAAGCCCACTTGCTGCATCATCTTCCGGCCGTACATCTTGTTGTCGATGAGAAGAGATGCGAGATAGTAGCCAGCCAGGGAGACGGTGATATTGACAAGGTTCCAGGTCCAAGTGGTGAAGATAGACTTGCTGTCAGGAGAGATGACCTTGATGAATTGACCCTGGAAAAGCTTGTTGCCGTAGAAGAAGACATCGTTGCAGAACCAAGTACCAGCAGTAGCAAAGAGACGTCCACCGAAGTTGGTAAAGCAGTGGCGAAGAGCGTTCACGTCATAGCCGGTGACGTTAGAGCGCTTCTTTGCCTCAGCGAGCTGCTTACCAGCGCTGCGCATGCGGTAAGTACGATAGTAGAGGAGCCAGAGCGTACCGATGGCAGGGAATGCAAAAGACAGTCGGAAAGTATACTGGGCAGCCGACTTGCTGTAGGGAGGCGAACTCTTGCCGTTGTTGAAGATGGCGAGCAGAACAATGAGAATGACCTGGTTCACGAACTGGCCCCAGCCCTGCATGAGGAAAGCCGTGGTGACACGGCGACCACGATGCAGACGATCTTCACGAGTCGAGATCCTTCCACCAGAAGAAACACCTTCAAGAGAAGAAGTTGCTGTAATGGGGTACTCGCCACCAACACCGAAACCGTAAAAGAAGAGAGACCAGGCATAACAGATAACCCAGCCTTGAAGGGTAAGTCCCCATGAGGCAGTGAGCATGAGCAGACCGACAAACATGATGGCAGCATCCTGAATGAGGCCCCATCGGCGACCGACCCAATCTCCCATAACCTACGAGCAGTCAGTACAATCCACCATATACAATAATAAAAGGGACAGAAAGTACTTACACCAACAACAGCCTGGCCAACCATGATACCGATAATTTCAAGGTATGTCACGGAGGCAATCCAATTATGAGAGCAGGTAGTGGGTTCCTTGCCCCAACAATCAGGCCAAACGGCCTTGAAGAGAGGCTCAAGGTTGCCAATGGAGAAAAGGACATAACCTTCCAGACCAAGACCGGCGCCAGGAATGACAGCATGGCGGAAATACCACGAGAAAGGTGATAGAGGATCCTCCTTAAACATAGACCAAGCAGTCTTGGCCTCCTCCTTGGCAGCATCGTTGTCTACCTTTGAAACGAACCGATAACGCTGGGCCAGTGGCAGATCAGCCCAGTAGACACCGTCCTCAGTGTAGGAGTCGTCTGGGCGGGTTACATGGCTGAAGATGCGACGCTCATCAGCAGTAGCATAGGCGATAGGCTCATCTGAGATGTGCTCAGAATCGCTGTCTGGAGGACCGTGCGGGACAGGGATCTCGCCTGGGATTGTAGACTCATGATGATGGTGCCTATGAACCATTTTGAGAGAAGGCGGTTGGAGCCTCGGGTTGAGATCCAAGTGTGATGGTGATCAAATGAGGTGCTTAATTTAAGGGGATCCGATAATTGTGCACGGGGTTTGTTGTTCTGAGGAGGCAGGAATAACTAGATGGAAGAAGATGTATATTCCATGCGCAAAGCGGAAATGCTAACCACCAAGGGAGGGAAAAAGTTTTATACTGGAGGCAAAGAAGAAGTGCCGAAGGCCCGAGTTAGATGGGTCGGGGACAATTGAGGAATTCAAGACTTGGAATTGCCTTGTCTTGGCTCTGGAGAGAAACGGGAACCCAACGGCTTTCAAGGCGCGAGGAAGGGCAGTATTTGAACTACATCACGACCGAGATAGACAGCAACAAGAGCTCGGATATTCAAGACGAGTGTGACGGGCATCTTGAAGAAGCACCAGCCAGTAAGAAGACGTAAATTAACCTCGTGGGAGAACGTGTGGACGAAAGTCGATCTCTGGGGTCAAATTCGGAGGGTGTGCAGCATAGGATAGCTCCCGTGTCCCGTTCCTTGACCGAAAGCAACTGTCGCCGCCTCGTCTTTGCCTCAGGGACCAGAGCTTGAGCTTTGCGGCAATGTACCGACGTATGCGCGCGTGGGCGTTAGAGGGAGATGGAGCTGTCGAAACAGAGAGAAAAAGCGGGCTATAGGTTTAGCTCTAGAACTATGTAAGAAACACCAGGGGTGGGTGACATGGCATTGGGTGGGCAATGCATGATGAGATCCGCCGGTTGGGTCATGATGGGATGGGATGGAACCCCCCATGTCCTCTGGTATCCTTATCCATCAGAAGCCGAGAGAGATCCAGGCCAGATCCTGAGCCACGGACAGCCGATTTTTATAGATGCATGTTATTGGCGTTTGAAAGCGCACAATGCGGCGCGACAGCAGGGGATTGGGCATTGTCAATCACAATCAAGGCGTGATAAAAGTCCAAAGTCATTGATGACGATGACTAGAGGCAATGACGTCGTTGTGTACCTAGACTATGGATGAGGCTCACACAAATCGAGGCTTGGGGAGGAGCACGTTTTCAACACCGAAGCGTAACAGGCTGGAGGCTGGAACAAGAGGATCCAATTCGGAGAAGGAAGAACCTGGGGTTCGCTCATTATCTTGAGAGGGCAGCCACGCACGCGAGCAAAAGCGCGCAAGAGACAGGCAGAGACGTTGGCTCAATTCGCAAAACACCAGGCGCGACCCGGATAAAACGGCATCTACGAGACCCGCCTGACTTGTTTCGGCCGACGCCGTTGGCAGGGAGCGAGGTCGATCTCTGCTGGAAAAACTCGCATCATGGCATTGAAGAGTTGAGAGTCAGGGTCTTGACCCTCTAAAATGGAAAATTCTATGGATCCTCTTGACTTGCTTCAGCCATTGAGCTTCTGTTGTTTCGAGGCGCTTTGAATGTCTCGCGTTCCGCACCACTCATTTTACGGCCCGTTTTCTTACTTGACCTGTCTGTGCCTTTTTGATTCAGAACCCTTTCTGCTGCCTCCCACCTTTGTTTTGTTTTTGTTTTTTTACCTTTCGGTGTCCTATTCCAGACACCGGGAGATAGTTTAATTCATGCCTATCACTACATATCACGGATATTCGGCCTCCTCGTTGTCCTTTTGTCGTTTGCTTCCCTTTGATACCTGTCGACCGATGCCAAGCCTTTCCCTTTCTGCTATTTCCATTTCCCGCCTCGGCGCTGTCGGGAGCCGCAGCTGCGCGTCTCGGCATTGGTGCTCTAGGCCTAAATAGGGTAGATTCAGGAAAAGTTCGCTGCATGAAAAACTGGAGAGAAGGTACAAAAGTACATCTGGTGGGTCCTCTTTCGACGACATCCACCTAATGCGGAAAGAGGTCGTGTGAGGTCGTTGTGGTGGGATCGACGGGTCCCTCTCGCCAGCCTACATGCCTCGGTCAGTGCAACCTTCCCACACACACACTCATGGACCAAGAAAAGACCCTGTGCCCAACTCAATTCACATGCTGGATCATGCTCTTACCCATGGTGTCTAATCTTGTTGCTTTAAGGGTAAAAGCTTAACAAAAGCTTAATTTTCTGCGTCGATACCAAATTACGTCCTGACTTAACTACTAACATAAACCTGCGTGCGAGGCTTCGTGGCAGGCTACAATGTCTGCTCATGGTCTAGAATAGCCGGCAAAAAGACAAATACCTCCATCGCTGCTAATCAGACCCCGCTTCCACTCCGTAGCCTGTAATCTTTTACGTACTGCATCTGTCTAGTCACTCCCTCAGCTCATCTTGACAACCTTCGCATAACAGGCAGCCCGCGACGAGATGCACTAATAAAAAGTCAGACACCAACTAGTCCACAATCTTATACCGAGAACTTCTTGTCTGCATCTAGAAACTTGTCGCGTGTGTAACATTTCTCTTTTTCTAGTTACTTCCTTGTATCGGTATCACTGTCAAACCAGTGGCCATCGAGTGATGGCTTATTACAAACACGCAGGTCATCCATTACTGATGATGCAGCACTTACAATAACTAACAAAAATTGGTGACAGACAAGTGTCCCAGATGCCTACCTACCTCGTGCAAGCAACTCGAGCATCTTATCCACCCTCCTGCTGTATACCCCCTCTCAACTTCTCCAACCCTCCCCCATTCTGTAATAACCATAACACATATGCATACTGAGTTGGTGGATAACACTCCCACAATCCCCTCCACAATGAAACTATCTGACGGTTTTTCTGCTGGGATTTACTTGATTGTCATTTGTTGTCGAAGCTGCCTCGACGGAATATTCACCCATGACTACCGACCCTGGGCTATGATCAATCCCTCTCTCTTCACATTTCCTTTGCTTTTGCTTTGACCGGACCTACCACTGTGGGTTAAGATGAAATCTTCATACGCTATGATTATCTTTCCTCTTCGTTAATTCTGTTCCAGCTCCTTTAGTCTTGCTGACATGATACGTTTTTACGAATTGCAACTGAATAAACCACGCCATGGGTACAGGAAGTCGGCATTGCATGCGCAGTATACTAATCTGAAATACTCGCCGTGGTATGCTGGGCTTGGAACTGTACGTGTGCGTTTAATCAAATCAACAAGCTAACAAGTGATTGTAGAAACAATTGAGTACCTAGTTATGATCAAATCCACAGTGATGGCCTTTATATCTGCTATATTGCTTCAGCACCTCTCCAGACATTCACAGACACCACCTCCTTTATATTTGTAGCCGGGGCCGAAGTGTCCATGCCTCAGTAGCTGCATCCTGATTTTTTGTTGTTGTTTTTATCCCCGTCAGTTTATATGGCCCACTTCTCATCTCTGCATAGCTCCTATCCCCAAGAAACACATGACAACTATGGCGAACTTGAGGGAAGCTCCAGTTCCTATATTGTGGGAAACCCTGGAGCATCTCACACAGATCAGTCTGTTCGCCTGCAACCCCCTCCTCCTGGTCGCCGGGCTATCCACTTGCATACGAAGCCTTCATCCTCAGTCCAAGTCGACTCACTTGTCATCGCTCAAACGCCACGCTGCATTTCATAGATACAAAGGAAATTCCAACTTGAAGATACTGAACGAAACATGCACAACATCTTCGTGGACCATGTCTACCCAGTAGCTCATTTCATGCACCGAGCCTGTATGGGAATTTTTATTTCCCAATTGGCCGTGGTGTCGCTTCCTCATCATCACCGCCATCGCCGTCTCCTTTGACAACTGTGAAAGGCCGAGGTGTGGCGTCTACACTGTCTGTTCCATCCTTGTCCGTCTTGGGCGTGACACCTTCAGCCTTCAGTCCTGCATCAGGAGGAGTACGTGCAGTAGCTTCCGCAACCACTTCACCATCCAGAACTCCAGTTTCCATCTCCTTTGAAGGCGTGGTCACGACTTGCGTCACAGCTTCAGGCGTGCTTTCTGAGCCTACCGTCAAGCTATCGTGACTGTTGGCTCGCATCATTTCGATGCCGAGCTTCGAGCTGGGCAGACCGGCTTTGCTCAGTATCTGCTGGCTATTGCGGCCGTGATGCTTTTCTCGACCACTTCCCAGTTCCTCGTCTTCATCATCAGCTGATTCGGTGCTCTCCAAAGTTCTCTGTTCAGGGCCTTCTCGTTTCCCTCTCAGCTTATCGTTGCCTCGTGGGCGGTGTTCCATATGAGCCGGTGCGGATTGCTGAGCAACGAGAGGAGGAACTCCCTTTCTTGGGGGTTCAGAGGCATCGTTGTTGTCTGTGATGTTCAAGCCACCCTCGTCCCATTCGTTTGTTGGCTTGCGACTAACAACAACCGGCAACTCATCAGTCGTCACAGATTCCGAATCACCAAAGAGCGATGATGTAATCGAGTCCTCACGGCTCGACATCATTGCATTTCCCAGTCGACTCGCAAAGATGGACGAGCCTGATGTCGGACTGTCTTCAAGTCGCGAGTTGGCTTTACGGATTCCCATTGGAATCGGGCGTGGCATGCTTGATGATTGACCTGGTGACTCGGGCCGCCACTGACACAATCCGCGCAGAACTTCAGTAAGTTTTGACGAACTGATGGGCTTCTCGATTAACGAATCAAAGTAGTGTGGTGCTTGAAGCTCTTTGAGGTAAGCTGTAATGGCCACAATCGGCGTGTGAGAATTGGCATTCTTGGTCTCCCGAATCATTCGTGCCACATCAGCTCCATTGATTTGAGGAAGCTGATACTCGAGGAAAATGACGTCAAACTTGATTTCACTCATCGAATATCGAACAGCTTCAGATCCATTTGGTACGGATATAGTACGGCATCTCAGCTTTTCAAGCAACTTCTCCATGACCATGCGAGATACCGGGTGATCTTCACAGATCAGCACATCAAGAGGCCGGAAAGTAGGGCCTCCATCAAAGGCAATCTGTGAGAGCCGCCTTGAGCTTTGTCTGCGCCTCTGTACTCGGAGAAGAGCATTATGCTTCTCGCCTTCGTTATCTGATGAGGATGGTGACATGTCAAAGACCTGGCTTCTCCGATTTCGATGATGGTGCATTATGTCAGAAGCAACGGGACTGCCGTCCTGAGATTGAGAGCCCACAGTAAGTGATCTCGAACGTCCGGCAGATGAATTGCTAGACTGTCGTGGTGTTGATATAGTTTTTTGGGGGGACAGTGACAAAGGAGGTGGCGCTGCACTGCGACTCTGGACTGGAGACGATGCTGCGACCGTTGTGGCGGCCTTTTGCAGGCTTGGGGGCACCTTGGGTATCTCGAATGCCGAGCTTGGCTGCAGAGATGCGGCAGTTGATTGGTGAGATAGGCTGGAAGAGTTACTTGATGCTTTTCGTCGTCCATCGGCACCTTGACCAGCGACAAATGAAACCAACAACGGTGATGAGGGTTGGGAGGCTCGGTTGGGAGACGCACTTGTATGACCAAATCCAGACGGCGATTGTGCTCGATTTGTCGCCTTGGCGTTAGAGATAGTTCTGGAAACAGGGTTTGATAGGACAGGGCTGCCTTCGAGCGACGGCCCTGGTGATATAACATTGCTGGATGCCCCGGGACTAACGGATGTTCCTTTACTTTGCGTGGCTAGCGCCTCGGCTCGCAACTTTTGGATCACGTCCTTGTTGGCCTTCTCCAACACAGGTAGGTTCTTGAATGAAAATGAGCCGAAGTCATCCATCGCCACCGGCTCGCTCAAACGTCTCGATTTCAAATCGCGGACATGTGGGGGAATATGCAGTGGCATCAATTTTCGGTTTATAGAGTTGACCTGAGACCGGACCCGCGAAAGCGCATCGTGTGGCCGTTCGGCGTACTCAGAACCAGCTGCGGAGGACTGAGGAGACGCCTGATCTTCCATCTCCTCCGCAAAAGACTGCAACACTGCCCCTCTGGCGTCGAAGTATTCTGTATCCTCGGGATTCTCAGGCTGTGGGACAAATTGAGCTTCGTCCTCCAAAAGCGTTTCCCAATTGACATCCTGGAACCAAGGGTGATGGCGAATCTCTTCACCACCAGAGGCGAACTTATCATCGCGATTGGAGCCTAGGCGTTGGTGAGGCTCCATGCACAGGAGCTTATTGATCAAATCTTTTGCCTCTTCGGAAATGGGCTCACATTCATTCTCGTCAGGCCACTGAATCTTCCTCGCTAAGATATTCTCAAAAACCTCTTCGGCCTCACCGGCATGAAACGGTGGGATACCATAGAGGAATTCAAACAAAATACAACCGACCGACCACCAATCGCTGGTTTCATCTTGTTTGTCACCCTTTATAGTTTCGGGGGCGAGGTAGTCAGGTGTTCCCACGAAACGTCTATTTGTATCCTCAGGGTTGAAAAGCGCCATTGGAGGTGGCATCATGTTGGAGAGTGGTAGAGAGTTCCTGGCATGGCTATCCATGCTCATTCTCGAACCAACACTCATGGGTAGATCGGGTGAGCCTTGCGCAACTGCCTCCTCATCTAGCGGTGACCTGACGCTGTTGGATTGGGATGCTATCTCTGCGTCATGCAAGGAAAAGTTGGTGACCATACGGGCAAGTGTCTCACTACCACCACTGTCACTTCGGTGTGTGCCTGATACTCGACGGGGCTCTTGGCCTAGACTGAAATAAGAAGGTTGTGCCAAGCTTCCAACTTCGGGTGTCATCTGAGGCGTCTGGCCAGGGGAATGGGTATGTCCGTGTAGATCAAGTGACGCTGATCTTGACGAAGCAATAGAGGCAGATCGGGCAAAGGGTCCTTGTTTGAGCAGGTCTGGCGTTCCATCAGAGTTTTCACTATTCAATGCTCGCTTTTGCCGGCCGACCAATCCCAAGCGAGACAAGCCAAAATCTGTAAGCTTAAGGTGGCCTTTCTGGTCAATAAGGAGATTGTCTGGCTTCAAATCACGATGAATAATGCCTCGGCTGTGAAGATGCTCAACTCCAAGGACAACCTCACCAAGATACTTCTTCACCCATTCTTCAGGGAGACCACCCAGAACTTTGATTAGCGAAGCACAATCCCCACCATTCAAATACTCCATCACCAGATATAGATAGTCCTTGCTCGAAAAAGTCCAGTAAAGCTTGGCAACAAAGTCGCTT